CGCGCTAATAAGGTTTTTAGTCCCTCCTTACGTTACTTCATTTGTGGCCATACTTGACATTTTAGTACCTGGCTACTTCTTGGCTTGTCCTTATTGTATATAACCTAACATTAAGAACCCTGTTAACTACTGCTCTGGTACTTTTTAATCTACTTAGGTATATAAACCTATACTGCTTCCTTATATAACTGTTATAGTAGACTATCTACGTCTGTCTTTACCTCTTAATGTAATGCAAAAAGAGAGAGCGCCCTATAGATTCCTACAATCTCTTGTTTTTAGTAGCTATGTAATAAAATAGAGGAGAATGCCTGCTAAAGTTTTCTAGTTTAAGGGCGTAATGCCTTTACTTTTATTCCCCTGTGAGTGAGTGTGGTCCCCTCTTAACTAGCAGTTTTCCTGCTCTAATACAATTACCTAAGAAACCATAACCGCACTTTTTTTTCTATACAGGTAGCTAATAGGCTCTAAGTAGCCTCTCTACTAAGCTAGCGTTATATGCGTCGCATTACGTCTCTATTCTACCTCTAGGCCCTCTAATAAACAAAGGTAGGCACGCGCCCTCTAACAGCGTAGCGCTCTGTTCTGTTTCTTATAAGAGGGTATACCTACCCCTAAGGTTACGTTTTTATTCCTTAATAGCCCTTAGCTCTACTTATCCTTTTCTCTACTACGTTACTAAAGCTTATAGTTAGAGCTTAAGTTACCTAACTGTCTCCCTTAAATATATTTAAAAGGTATAAAAAATAATTACTAAGAATAGTTAAGCAGACAGAGGTAACTACTACAGCAGTTAGTTATAAGTTACCTAAGGAAATAATAATAATATAATCTATCTTAGCACTATTAAAGGTCTATAGCGCCTAATAATATAATAACTTAACTAATAAGACTAACGTATATAATAAGTAAGCGTGCTAGACAAGCAAGCGCGCTACCTAATTATAGCTACCTTATAAATATAACTAAGAAGTAACTATAAAATAATAAAATTAATTTAAACTACTTAGAATCCTGTTCTTTAGACATTTCTTTATTAAACTAGCACGTTTACGTATTATATCTAGTGTTCCTATAGGTGCTATACTACTATTTACCTGTTTTTATCCTTAATCTATAACTACTACTCTAACGTGTTTCCTCCTTAATCTAGGTTATTACCTCTCTCTATAACTAAATATCCTATATATTAGCTATACTAAGACTCCCTCCTTACTTTAGATAAGTTTTTTTTACCTTTCTATATTAGTTAAGTAGGTTATTCTTTTTATAAAGGGTTTTAACCTTAGCCTTTAATAAAGTATTTTTATATATAATTCCTAACGCTTCTTTAAGAATATACTTAGTAGCTATTAATCTATATATTAAGGAGCTATCTAAATAATTAATAAAGTAATCCTTAATAAGGGTTCCTTAAGAAGATATCTTTATTATATTATATAGTGTCTAAGAAGTCTAAGCTAGTAGTGTTATTAAAAGGGATCCTAGAGGTGTTAAAGTGTGTAACTTAATATCTAGCTTTAATAGTACACTTTTTAGACTTAGAGGGATAAGCCTTACCCCTCTAAAGCCTCCTTAAATATTTACTTTTATAAAAGCTTACTTAAAGGCGTTATAAAATACTAAAAAAAAGTTATTTTTTATAATATAGGTATTACTTTATTATATCTTATCCTTAATTTCTTAACTATATACTAGCTTTAAAGGCCTAAAACACTTAATATCTAAAAGCTAAAGTAAATAAGATAAATAAGGTAGTATATAAAAGGTAATAATATTATTTTCCTTATAATATAGCTTAAAGTCTATAAAATAGTAACTTTTATACTTATTAATAATAAAAAAGTAATATTTCTTTTTTATATATAACTTTAAATATTAATTAAAATACTAAAGCTAATCTAGGCCTTTTTTATTTATTATTTATTTATTTTTAGATATTATAATAACCTAGTTAGGTAAAAAATTAGATTTTATATACTAAGTAAAAAGAAGATTTTTACCTCTAATAATAATATATAGTAGGACGCTATAACTAAATAAACTAATAGCCTAAATAACTATAACTTATTCTTAATTTCTAGGCTATACTATTTTTATATTTAAACGTCTTTTAGAGCTTATAATAACTATTTTAGATATAATCTAGCCTATTATAAAGCTAGTCTTATTAAAGTTATAGATATTAGACTTTATAATACTATATTTTATAATTATATTTACTATAAGGTAAAACTATATATTTATTACGTCTAGATCTTTATATTAAGCCTTCTTATAGTTATACTTATAAAAAAAACGTATTTAGAGCTCTAGTGTTTATTTAATAAAGTTTAAGGCCTAGCGCTTACTAACTAGAGGTATATTATAGTTAGTAAGTAGTTAATTAGCTATTTCTTTAACACTACTAAGGTAGAGAAGAAATAATTAGGAATTTAGATTAAGAATAAACTTAACTAGCTTTCTCTCTTTAAGTTTTATTAAATTCTATAAGTTAGGTATAATATTACGTTATAATAGTATACCCTTTAATTAACACGTTACTAAATTATAACTAACGTTATATATCTTTACTATAGCTTAAATACTAAGTTTTAGATCTTTTTTATACGCTTAGACAGCTAGCTGTACCTAGGCTTTATTACAAGTTAATTTCATTATTGTTAGTAGAGGAATAAAAGGGAAAGGTCAGATAGTTAGATAGTTGTGGTTTAGTGGCGCGCTCGCTTGTCTAGCGCGCTTGCTTATTATGTACGTTATAGTAAAAGACCTTTATTAGACTATTAATACTTCTTAAAAAAGAACTAAATAAAACAGCTAAGTCTATTAAAATAACATACTATTAAATAACTTAAGGCCTTAAGTAAGACGTTATAAGAGAACTAACGCACCCTCTATATAGAGAATACCTACTAATATAACTTATAAGCTTATTAGGCTTAGTAGGCTAAAGGGCCCTAGTAGGTTATACTAAGCTATATATAGGTTCTTTAACTATATAGGGAGGCTTTATTACTGTATAGGAGATAGAATAACGTAGTAATACTATAGACCTAGGTCCTTACTTAAGCGCTACTTTAGTTACTTATAATTAATTTAAATATTACTTATGCTTCTAAGGATTAATATATTAATAAGTCTAAAAGGAGCTACGCTACTAGATAATAAGAAAGCTTTATTTATAAGCAGCTAATAGAGAGATATAGTAGAATAAAGCAGCTAATACCTACTTAAGGGAAGGATACTAACAAGGCATTATCAGCCAGGAGCAAGGCATTAGCTAAAAAGGGCTATAAGCAAAGGGGCAAGTATGTCTTTAGTGTTACGTTGCTGATGTAAACATTCCACAGCACCGACATCTTTAACTGGCTTGGTTCCAGTTCCAAAAAGAGCAATTATCCCTGCAGCAGCCAACAGGAACTAACAGGAACCAACAGCGCGGCGTTTGTGCCACCTTCAGCCTCGAATTCGGTCACTGCGTAGAAAGACTTTTAGTACAGGAATGATCACAGCCAAGCGGGAGGAAAATAATTTGGACAGAAATAGCTTGTTGAGCAGACGAGGATGTTTATGTGTGGAAATGCTGGCCCCCTAGGAAACAGGAAGTGGGAACACCAGGATTTACAGGGTGGTAGGGGTAACTAAAAGCTCCCAGCCATGTTACCCCCCATAGCTGACATTATAAGAGGGGAATATTCACCAACAGAGAAGTTTTGTAGTAGGGGGGTGCGTATCAGTTACCTGACAGGGAGCTTTTACTTCGGCCGGATACCATCGTATAACTCCCTACCCCTCTATTTGAACCACCCCCGCATTTGAACCACCATCACCACCACCACCACCACTATTACCACCCATTGCATCCCCATCACCGCCCACCCATATGCAACTTACGGCCTCGCTGGATATATCCGTTTGCATTAGCGAAGTGGGGTGCAACGGATTAACACCCGGAGCGCGTCGGCTGTCGGCCAAACCTCGCTATCCGGACATAGCTGCTGATTAAGCGGCTGAAACCGAGTAGAATAGAATCAATCAAAAGGCAGTACCGCCTGTACTTCTAAGATCTGGTAGGGCTTGTTGTTGCCTGTAACCTGTTAGGTCGTAACACTTTAAGATTTGTATGGTTTCCTATTGGCAACTTTACTTGAATTTAAAGCCTCTTGCACAAATTGTGACAGTATCCAGGTAACTGCAAAGGGTTGTATCGAGTAATCATAGACGCCAAGCATGTGGCGTAACAGCTGGCGTAGTCGCGACGCTCTAAATGAGAGGTAGCCGATTCATCAGCCGAAGGAACAGCAGCACCAATAGTAGCGCTGATAAAGGCGAAAGTGATAAATAATTTAGGATTCATCGTGTCGATTGGCAGGGGATAGTTTAAAGAATAGTTAAGAAAGTTGATACTGGTAAAGTGCAAGTTACCTCGAATGACATACGTTGTGAGTGTAAAGTCGAATACAGAGAGAAATGGAGAAGAAGATCGAGTATATAAAGGAAAAATAGTATATATAGAAGAAGGGAGAGGTTAGGTGTTTTTTAATAGTCTTATATCTTATATAGATTATTTTTAGTATATAAGAAAATCAATTTACGGTACTACCGATTTCATTTCCTATAAAATTAAACAAACAAACACACGTTTATATTATACTTAGTAATATATTACTATATTTCCTGTTTTAAAATTTACTATCTGAACTTTTACTATATGTATATAAGTAACTTTAGCCTAATTAATACTACTGTACTTTTAGATTGGCTCGGGAATGCCGGCTGTAATGTTTTTCTTACTCTCTCTCTATTAATTTAATCAAAGATATACTATAAACTCTAACAGTATAAAAAAAGCGTAGAGCTTCACACTAGAGTTAAGTATATAAAGACAGACCGAGCACCACCATGGACCTAGATAATTTAAACCAGAAACCTATCGCCATACCATCCTGCCTACAATTTTCTTACCTTAGGGTCATATTATCATTCTATTTATGCCCATCATGAGACTCTACACTATTTCTACTATGGCTTTGCTCTTTGTGACATCAATTGCCGATGATTGCATGTAAGTCTGCCTATTACATTGAAATTACTATGAATGCTTACCCCCACACTAGTTGCACTAAGGCAGGAACTGAACGCGCTTGTAAAGCGGCTAAGGGCAACATGAAAGGCGAATACTGTAGCACGAGCGACGCCTCTGCATTCCTTACTTCAGTAAGTTCAGCAATAGTCACTATATGGTTTTGTAAAATACTGAGAGCCTCCTTTAGTGTAGCGGAGCCTGCTATAGCTAAACGCTAGCATAGCGTTGGCTATAGCTTCTCCAAGAACGCATTCACAAGGCCACCAAAATGCGTCAGATCCAGAAGGTAGAAGCCATTATTTAGGAAAGGGGTAGAAGCCACGAAGGTTAGAGTTAAAATGTATCATAGTGGTACGCCGTGAAATCCGCAAATAGGGAGACTTTTAATCACTGGGTTTTATTATACAAAGAGATTTGTGAGGTGAGGAAGAAGGGCAGTAAAATAATAAGAGCGTTTCTAACGTGTTCCTGTTGAAGCGCGTAATTGGCAGCGATACCCTGTATTGATTGATTGCTCTGTTGTGTGTGTATCTACCACTATGTTACGCGGCCATCGCCGATCGGCCCTTTGGTAAGGGGCAAATGCACGGATCATTATTTTCCCTTGATTTGGGTGGAGAAATTCATCCGGGAAATGACTGGTGCATTTGCGGCCAATTGCCCCACTAGCGACCGTGCATTTCTGGCCAATTGGCCCACTTTGACAGTTGCCGCAACAAGCAGCAGACCAGCTAATATACAAAGGTAAGCTATAGCTAAGTAAGCTAAGCTAGCAATATAATCTTCTCGTGTTTTCAGCCTCGTCAGCTTTGACGTGAAAGGTTTGATGTGAAAGGAGCGTACAATGGCGTGTGTAAGGAAAGACTGGTCTAAAGAAAGCGCAAAGCATCCCGGAGGACTTGCTCCGGTGGGTATCGGCTTTTTGCTCTAACCGCACGGCAACAATCTTGTTAAATAGTAGGGATTATAATAGTTGCTTGATTGATTCTGTTATGTGTTATGTATCTATAGTAAAATCCTGTAGGAACAGGGAAATCCCCTTATTCCTTAGTTAGGAAATCCTAGGCTAATCCTGGCTATATTATTAGTGGACTTACCCTAAAAGTGGGGCTAATTTACTGCCTATTCCCTAACAATTTACTATAAGGTAACTATATATTTACTAGTTAATTTATATATAATTCTGCTATATTTAATACACCCCCTTAGCGCTAGTAGTATAATTAATTACTATAGAGCTTATACTAAATATTATTTATATATAGCCTATTTATTTATTAATTATCTTCTAATATCTTATATATTTTCTTCCTCTATTTAGTAGTAAAGCTTTACTTTATTATTAGCTAATTCTTACTATTAATTTACTTTAAGACATATATATTAGTTACTTATATTTAATTAAGTTATAAATATAGTAAATTATAGCGCACTAAGCGCCTTTATTAATCTATTAGCTATTAATTTAGTAGACTTTTTATATTTAATAGTAATTTAATCTACTACTACTTCTTGTTATAGCTAGTAGTTATAAATATCTATATACTATAGCCTTATCTATAGTTAGATAAGCTCTTTAGTAATAAGCCTAATAGTCTAAGTATTATTATAGCTAATATAAATAGTTAGTAGCTATTTAGTAGTTACCTACTTATTAAGTAATAATTTAGTTCTTAGTTATATTAATAGTTAAATACCTAATGTAGTAATTAATCTACTAGTAAAAAGCGCCTTTTTTATAGTAAATAATAGTACTAGTAATTTAGCCTTAGTAGTTAATATTATTACTATATTTTACTTATTAGCTTACTAAGAGATAAGCCCTCTAAATAGCTTTAGTATATATACTTATAAGCTGTAATAGTTTAGTAAGTTATTAGTAAATAAGGTGTCTAAAGTAACCTTTAATATATTATTTTTACTACCTAGCGTTACTTTATATTTAAGGTAAAAGTACTATATTTAATAAAAATACCTAAGTACTTAATTTACTACTTTTTAGTAATCTAGATTTAGATTATAGTTAAAGTAAGTAAGCTAGCTAGCTATAAAGGTAATATCTAGCTAAGTTATTACTACTATATAAAGGATTATTTTTACCTTTTTTTAATATTAGTTAACCTTTTATAATAAGGCTATATATTTACTAAGTAGTAGCTTAGCTATTACTATAAGTAATAATTTATTATATTTATATTTATTATTTATTAGTAGTAGTTTTATTATTTTATTATAGTATACTACTTATAAGAGCTAGAGATAGTAGTTACTTTAGTTATAAATTACTTTAAGGCTAAAGAACTATTATAATAGGCTTCTACCTTTAAGGTAGTATTATTACTAAAAAGCTACTATCTTATTACTTACTAATACTTTATTTATATAGTAATAGGCTAATATATAGTTATTAATATAAAAAAAGAATATAATATAATCCTTTTTCTAATAGTAATTCTTACTAAGCACCTAGTAAAAGCCTTATATAGTAAGTCCTTTTTTAAGGTGCTTTTACTATAGTAGTAGTAATTACTAAAGCCTATATAGTGCTTTTAGTAGCTAGAGGATCTAGCTAGAGATTTAGTAGCCTAAAGGTATCTTTATAAATACTACCTTATTAATAGTAGTATAAATAAGTATATTTACTATATTATATTAAAGTAATTCTAAATTAAAGTAAGTAGCTATTACTATAAGTATTTTAAATAATATACTTATTAATATAGCTATATAAGTATCTTATAGATCTTTTACTTATTAGTTACTATAGACTATAAGTCTTACTTTAAATTTAGTTAATTAACTATATTTATTAAGCTTATAAGTATATACCTAATAGTAGCTAAGGATTTAATACCTTTTAGCTTCTACTTATAGTACTATTACTTAAGATTTTAATATTTTATACCTATATAGATATGCTTTTTTAGTGTCTTTAAATTACTTTTTATATAAGTAGCTTCTTAACTATCTATAAATTAGTAAAAGGTATAGTAACTTCTAATATATACTTATTAGCCTATAAAGTCTAGTAACTTCTTTATTATATACTAGTAATTTACTAGTAACGTCTTTATAATTATTATACTTATTAAGCGTTATATAGTTAATTAAGTAGCCTTAAGGACACTTTAGCTAAAGGTAGTAATCTTTACTTATTAGTTAACTTTATAATATACTAGACTATATTATTACCTATAAGCTACCTTATATATAGTCTATAATCTTTTACTATAAAGTAAGCCTTATAAGGAAAGTAGCCTTAAATAAAGTCCTTAGTGTAATCTAACTACCTATATATATAGTAAGATAATACCTTTTTATAACGCCTTTAAATAAGGTTACTACTAGCTAGAGATTACCTAATAGGCTAGCTATAGTTACTTAGGAATTTAACACCTTTTTACGCTTAGTAACGTCTTATAAATTAATTATATAAAGATAAGATAAGGTATAAAGGATTACTATCTTTATTACTTTAGAACTATTAGTTCCTAGTAAGTTACTAGCTTATAAGCTATTAGCTATTAATAAATTAAGTAAGTTACTAGCTTATAGGCTATAGGCTATTAATAAATTAATTAATAGGCTATTAGCTATTAGATTAATTAATTTAAAGCTATTAGTTCTTATTTTACTACCTCTTATATTAAAATCTATAAAGGCTATAAAAAAGGCGCTTAGTAGTAATAGTAGTAAAGTAAGAAGAAGTATAAATTTTACCTACTTATATAGATATTCTAGTACGTTACTAAATTATAAAGCGCTTAGTAAAGTAATATTAGTATGTTTTATTACTTTATTTATTTCTTTATTAGCTTCTTTATATAATAAGGATTAATTACTAGCTACTATAAGCTTATTAATTTATTATTAAATTACTAAAAGGTTAGCTTTATAGAGCTTATTAAGTAATCTATTTATTAATTTATTAATGATTTATTTCTTATTAAATATTATATTATATATAGTAAAGACTTTATTTTATACTAGATATTAGACGTAATATAAATTACTAGATATATATCTAATAAGGAATTTAATCTATATATAGGCAGTAAGCTTTTACTAGTAGTTTTATAATAGTTATATATTTACTATTAATTTATACGCTTAGTAGCTATAGGCTTATAGATATAAAAGATCTAGCTTTACTATTAGTAAAGGCTTAGTGTGCTTATTAAGTATAAAATATAAGTAAAATAATTAATATAGGGATTTCTACTTCTAAGCTACTAATAGTGTTTAATTATAAAGGTATATAGCTATAGTTATAATTTTAGGCTATAGGACTTTAGGTAATTTTATATTAATCTATATATATTACGCCTTAAGTTTAATAATTATAGTAATTTACTTAGTGCTACTATTTTAAGCCTAAGTATTTACTACTAATAGCTTAATAAAGGTTTTATAATTAAAAAGTATATTTATAAGTTACTTAAGGCGTAGGATTTCTTAGTTAGCTTTTATAACTTTTAGCGTAATTAAATATTTAGTTTTTAGTATTATAAAGAAGCCTCTTATTATTAAGTTAATAGTATCTTAGTAGTAGCTATATAAGTAGAAATCCTATATAAGGCCTATTACTTAATCTAAGATTATTATTACTAAGTAGTATCTTATATAGCCTTATTTAAGATTATAAAAGTCTAGTGCTAGGTAATTACCTAGCACTATATTTATAATAAATTTATAAGGCTAGTAGTAAATCTACTGCCTTATTTTACTAAGACTATATAAATTATAGTCTTATATTATTATAGCGTTAGCTTAGGTTAGACGTACTTTATATATAGTATTTATAATCCTTTATAAAGCCTTAGCACCTAGGTAGCTAAGACGCTTATACTATATTATTACATTACTATAAAGTAGTTATTACTATATTAACGTTATATATTTATTTTTTACTTATAGGGTTAGTAGTAAATTATTAGTAAAGTGTATAGTAAAAGCGCTTTTACTTTCTTAGCTATAGCTATATTACTTATAATATTTAAGTACTAATTAGTTAGCTTATTTCTTAATATAGCTTATAAGGCTATAATCTATATATCTTAAGTAATTATTACTTAGGCTTATATCTTATTATATACCTTACTAGTATAGCCTTATAAAGAAAATAAGTAATATAGTAAATATACTATAATATATTACGTTATATATATAAAGCTTTATTAGTAAGCTATTAGCGCCTTTTAAAGTAATCTCTATAGTACTATATTTTTAACTATAACTTAAGTAGTACTAGCCTAAATATAGTTACTAATTAGGGCTACTACTAATATAATAAACTATAATATATAGTTAAATATATAGTTAGTAGTACTAAAATTAAGTAAGGCTAAATTACTTAGCTTATTACCTTATAAAGTAGTATAAAAAGCTACCTTTATATAGTATTTACTATATAGTTAATATAACTTAGCCTTAATTCTTTATACTTATTTAGTAAGGTTAAGATTACTTATAATATACTTATTAACTTATTACTAACGTTATATATTTACTTACTAATTATTAGGCCTTTATAATTTATTTATAAAGTAGTAAAGCTATAATAAATAAGTACTAAAGTATATAAAGCACTTTACCTTTTTACTTACACTTTATTAGTAGTAATACCTCTTGTTATTAAATTTACCTTTTTTTACTATACCTTTAGTATATATTAGGCTATTATTATTATTACCTTTAGTTAGGCTAAATATACTATAGCCTACTTAGCTATAATATAGTAAGTTATTAGTAAAGGCTTTAACCCTCTCTAGTGCTATCTTATAAAAAGACTACTAGTTAAGATTATTCTAATTACTTATTATTTTACTTATTACTATATATAAATCTAGCTAGGCGCTAAGTATACTACTTTATAATATAGTAATAAGATTATTAAATTAGATTAATAGCTATTAATAGTTAGGTAAGTTAACTTATACTAATTTAGTATAAGCTAAGTTCTATTTATTAAGCTATATAGCTAGATCTTTTTTAGTAGTTAAGGCCTTTTACTAAGCCTTTACTAACACTTTACTATACTTATTATAGGCGTACTTTATACGTTTTTTTTTAGTTATTCTTACTACTACGCTAAGCTTATTAAGCTATTTAGCTAGTAAATTAGTAGATTTATAACACTTTTCTTAAAGATTAGTAAATATAGTAGATTTAACTATATTAGCTATGTCTTTAACGTCTTTTTACTAAGTAGTATACTTATATACTTCCTTATAATAGTAGCTTATATAGCTATTTAGATATATAAAGTTATAAGGATTAAGATTATTTAGTATTACTATATATTTAGTTTTATATATAGTCCTATTAGGTATAGATATAATAGCTTTACTTTACGCTATATATATCTATATATAGGCTTAATAAGGTATCCCTATAGTTACTATAGCTATAGTAGCCTCTTAGTAAGCACTAAGCTCCTCCTTAGTTAAAAAGTATAGATATTATATTATAAGTAGCTTTATTAGTTTTCTTAGATATATTTTAAGAATTAATTAGTCTGCTGTTATAACCTCTAGGTTAATATATTCCTAGAGATTATAACGCTTTACCTTTACTTAGATAGCGTTAAGCTATATAAGCTAATTACTATATAATTATAAGATAGTTACCTTATTATTATTATTCTTATTAATTATTATAATAATATTAATTAATAGATAGATATATTAGTTATTATAGACATACGTTTTAGACTATTAATTATTAAATAGTAGGGATTATAATAGTTACTTAATTAATTCTATTATATGTTATATCACTATAGTAAAATCCTATAGGAACAGAGAAATCCCCTTATTCCTTAGTTAGGAAATCCTAGGCTAATCCTAGCTATATTATTAGTGGACTTGCCCTGAAAGTGGGGCTAATTTACTGTCTATTCCCTAACGATTTGCCGTAGGGCAACCGTGCATTCGCCGGTTAATTCACGTGTAATTCCGCCACATTTAACAATTAGTCTTTAATATAATAATATATATTTAATAAATAAGATATATAGTAATAACTATATATATATTCTAGTTCTAGAGTATTAAGGATAATAGATCCTAATTCCTTCCCTCTAAATAGGTCTATAAATCCTTTTATCTACCGTATTAGGTTGTCCCTAGGACCCTATCCCTTTTCCAGGTTAGCTTCTATAATAGCCGACCATGTCCGCTGTCCCCATCACAATAGATAAATAGAGCAGCCTTTCTTTATATATTAATCTATATAATTTTACGTTTATGTATAAAACACTATTGTTTTATAAAGCTAAAGAAGTTGACTTTGGGGGGCTGGATCGGACGATTCCGGGATTGAGCTACACTTTTGCTTACCCACTGTAGGTAGTAGAAGGTGATGCCCCACAAACACCCGAAGCAATAAGCAGACCACCAACTCGGCAGTCCAGTTACATAGTGGAAGCGCAATGCATCAGCAGGCACCAACGACGTCACAGCGTTATTGATAGTGCCCGGCAACCGCTGACATTAGCCTTTCAGCTGCTGAGGTAGCCTTACAAACTTGCCCGCCATCTTTCTTTCGAGTAACCGCCAACATGGAACGGGCCCCGAAGAGACCGCGTCTTGCCCAAGATGTCGAAGGTTTCGAGACGGCATCAAAGCCAGATATTCCCCTATCTCTGGGCCGGGCAATCAGCCCTCCCAGCAGGAGAAATCGGCGGATAAGATCACCTTTCCAACTCACGCGCATCCGAGACTTGCCTGAAGCTGCGAACCGTGACACCGTTGCGCTCAAGGACATTCTCGGGGACCCTCTGATTGCCGAATGCTGGGAATTCAACTTCCTGCACGACATACATTTCCTCATGAGTCACTTTGACGCGGACGCCAGAGACCTCGTCAAGGTCCACGTTGTTCATGGGTTCTGGAAGAGAGAGGACCCAAACCGGTTGGCTCTCCAGGTCAGTTGACGACGATTTTTACCCCAAAGGGCTACAATGTTTATAAAGTAGCAGGAAGAAGCAGATGCATACCCAAATGTAGAGCTCCATAGCGCGTTCATGCCCGAAATGTTCGGCACCCATCATTCGAAAATGATGATCCTGATCCGCCACGACGACTCGGCCCAGGTGGTCATACACACCGCCAACATGATAGCCAAGGATTGGACGAACATGACCAACGCTGTCTGGCGATCACCCATGCTTCCACTCCTTCCAAACAATTATGTTGAAGATGCTCCAACAAACGACCATCCTTTCGGAACAGGAGAACGTTTCAAACATGATCTTCTTGGCTACTTGAGAGCCTACAACGCCCGCAGACCGACTCTCAAATCTTTGGTCGATCAGATTTGCCACTATGACTTTTCAAGTGTGCGGGCTAAACTGATCGCTAGCGTCCCTGGGCGTCATCCCATCCACGACACTTCACAGACAGCTTGGGGCTGGCCGGCGCTTAAGAGGGCTTTACGTAGCGTCCCTGTACAAGAAGGAAAGTCCGAAGTCGTGGTTCAGGTATCATCCATCGCCACTCTGGGATCTTCAGATAGCTGGACCCAGAAATGTCTTTTCGACTCTCTTGCAGTTTCCAAGAACAACTCGTCAAGCAACCCCAGACCGAAATTCAAAGTGGTTTTCCCCACCGCGGATGAAATTCGACGAAGCCTAGACGGTTACGCCTCTGGTGGCTCAATACACACAAAGATCCAGTCTCAGCAACAGGCAAAGCAATTACAGTACCTGCGGTCCATGTTCTGCCATTGGGCGAACGACGCCCCTGACGGAGAGCGTAGGTGGCAATGTGGTTGTGGAGGAAGGGATTTACTAACGTTCTTTTAGCTTTACCTGAGACGGCAACAATCCGAGAGGCTGGCCGACAACGAGCAGCACCACACATCAAGACCTACATTCGCTACGGCGAGAAGTCGATAGACTGGGCCCTCGTCACATCGGCCAATATTTCCAAGCAAGCATGGGGAGAGGCAGCGAGACCGTCTCAAGAGGTCAGGATCGCATCTTGGGAGATCGGAGTATTGGTGTGGCCTTCCATAATAGCAGAAAAGGCGACCATGATCGGAGCCTTCGAGTCAGACATGCCTCAGAAGGACGCAGGAGACGGAGATCCAGTGGTGGGAATAAGAATCCCCTACAGTATTCCGCTTCAGTCATATGGCAAAGACGAGATACCGTGGGTGGCGAGTATGGTCCATACGGAGCCAGACAGTATGGGAAGATTTTGGGGCGTCGAATAGGCTAGATTGCCAGCAATCGTTACGCACGCGGCACGGAGCGGGTTGGCTAGAGCGGCTCTGGTGTCATTATATTGAACCGGGATTCTTGCTCGGTAAACATCATAGCCTTAACCATTGCTAATCCGTATCAACCGTGTCATTTCTCGTGGCATTGTAGGCGGGTGCAGTGACTTAGGCGCCAACAGCCTCGGGCTCTTTGTTGGCGTCGTAGCCGTACTTCTCCTTGAGGCTGTTGACGAGAGTGACGTACTTCTCCTGGGCCTGCTCAGGGGTAGTGCCTTCGTCGACAACCTTCTGCCACGCGCTCTGCTTTGCCTTGCCCTGTCGCACGAATCGAGATTAGCGCCATTCACGTGCAAACCCCGAGAGCTCGTTAGCTCGTTTGAAGAGAACGTGTCCTTACCTTGAGGTCAAACATGCCAGGCTTGGCGGCAGTGGAGATGTCCTCGCCGGTGCCGACCTTATAGAGGCCTGTGGAAGATTAAGAGTCAGCTTCCTGAGTTCTGTGGCCGAGGTGCGCGGATTCAAACGCACCGTAGAGCTCAAGGAGCTCGTCGTTGCTGGGCTTGGCGGTAAGCTTCTTGCTGTCGATGACAGCCTGCTTGAAAGCTTCGCTCTGGGGGGCAGACATGACGTGTAGTGCCGTGGAAGAGCGTTGAGGGTTGTTGTTTTTTTGCGGGGGAAGGGTCTTGGGTTGTCTAAAGTCGCAAGTGTGTGTGTAGCTGTGAACTTATATTCCAGGAGGGGACTTGTTGGGAAGGCGGAGGAAAAAGGGTTGGCCGCCTTTTGGCGGGGTTAAAGTGGTGAACTGGGTCCCACACACCCGCTTGCATCGTATGCGCGGGGCAGCTGATGCTGTCATTAGGGACACTGCACCGCCACAACGACAAAGAAGATTGTGCCTCAACTCCATTCTGGCAGGCTTGTGCTTGCTCGGGAACACGGTGCAACTGAGGTCATACAGGTACACAACAATGGTACTAACACAGTCGGAAAAACACAGTACAAGCCCTGCAGTTAAACTTCCCTGAGCTTAGGCCGACGCGCGCAGTGAGGGGTAGGGCCAGAGCGGATGCAGGTGGCTTCTCTACCTCGGCTTAGTTGCAGCTACCTCCTACATCCTGTCACTGGCCTCATCAACCCAGGGAGTCATTTCCTCGTTGACGGGTTCGCCGCTTCAACACGTCATTTCTTAATGCACCCCACTCTTTGGTCAGGAATCACCAAATACGGACGATGTCCATCTAGGAGAGGATGCTCAGCTTCAACATCATTTCGACAATAATGATGCCAGACTGGTACGCCAGACACGAACGCGTAAACACAACGAAACAAGAGTCGTTATCTGACCGCTGACTGCAACCGCATCATTTCGGGTTATTGTCTGTACAGCCAGCAAGATATGATGAGGTCTTGCTCTACGGCCAGCCCTTGTAGTGTATCCGCTACGTTGTGCACCATGCCATGAAACCGACAGATGGAGAAGAGGGTACAGCAGAGCGCCTTGCTAGCTGAGCACAGCGGTTGTTATTGCACCGGGAATGTCGAGGTCCTAATTCTGCTAGAGCCAAGTGGTTTGTTTATCCCGAAAGACTGATTTGGACGCACAGTTCTCTCCATCGTGGTTGACAAGCCTGGCGCATGCGAGCGCCGTGATTGCTACATTGATGCTACGGCAAGTCACATCCTCCCAATCAAGACAATTACCGCGCGCGCCCCGGAGGTTGCTCAAAGAGACTTGTTTTCGTCCTTTGTTCAGGTCCGGGCGAATTGGGAGGCCTCGGTACTCAAAGCCGTTCTCCTACATCGAAGCACATGGCGGCTTGCTAGGTTTCTGGCCGTGGAGTTAAGGCCAACCAACAACGGACATCAGTCCACATAGAAACAACGAGGAAACACAGCCAATCTTACCTACACCCTCATTAGCCCTTTTTCTGCGTCCAGTTTCTGTATCGAGCATAGACTCTACGCTTGTTTTTCGTCTCTTCCCTCCCGCGCACCCTCCGCCGTCGAATGACAGCCCAGCATGTTGTCTTCTTAGCGTGGGGAAAGCCCGGACGGCCAACGGAGGATCAACGGCCAACCCGCGCAAGGACGGACATTGAAGCCTTGCTTGAACAGACCCTCTGCCCTGCCAATTACATGCTGTGCCACGACCGGCACGGACTTGAAAGACTGAAACCTGTACGAAAATACTAATGCTCTGAATCCGCATCGACCATGAGCGCAACCTTGAGAGGACGCGTATCCGGACCTAGATGGTGTGGTAGAGAGGCGCCACAGATCCTTGCGTTTTGCTTTTTACGCATCTCAGACCTAAGAAGGCTGTGATCACAGTATGAATAAATACCGGACTTCTCGCTGTTTTCTTGAAGCATCGGATCTTGGCCTTGAATGCACCTGGCGGCTTGAGAAACTGTTACATCAGCTAGCACTCATCACGCCGATTCCCGGAACGAACACGCATACCATCATCACTGCAGGCGGCGATCGTCTGCGCGTCCCCATCCACGAACCCAATCAGCGTAGAAACCGGACTCCGGTAATACGAAGAATAAAAAATGGTCAAGACGGTCGTCATTCTCGGGGCGGCATACGGCGGCCTGGGCGTCGCTCATCGACTGCTCAAGTACACTCGCCAGACAGAGGAGGATATCAGAGTGATATTGGTTTCAAAGGTATGCGACCCCTCCAATTCAACTGCTATAACACGACTCTGGAACAACTGGAAAATCGGATGGCTCTCGCAGGGCTCGATGGTTGTGCTAGCCTTTGCCGGAGCTGCGAGGACGAGGGTTGTAGATGGCCCACGCTTTATGTGCGCGCGGGCCGAAGAATAGAGCACGTCAAGAGCTGGGGGGTAGTTTAGAGAAGAACTTAACCAGAAAATACCGCGTGTAACAGGCTGACAGAAGTGACAGACAACTCATTTCTATTGGAACCTGGCCTCTGTCCGGGCCGTCGTGCCAGGCATCGTCAAAGACGAGCAGATCTTCCAGCCCATTGAGTCCGGTTTCGCCCGCTACCCCAAGGAAAGCTTCGAGTTCGTACTCGGCACGGCCACGGGCCTAGACGTGCCCCGTAAGGCGGCCCTCGTCTCCACCCCGTCCGGCCCTCGATCCCTCCCCTACGACTACCTCGTCCTCGCCACCGGCACTCGCTCCGCGAGCCCGGACATGCCGTGGAAGAGCGCCAACTCGCACGAGGAGACCATCGACCTACTGCATGAAACAGCGGAGAAGGTCAAGGCGGCGAAGCACATCGTCCTGGCCGGCGCCGGCCCCACCGGTGTCGAGTGCGCCGCCGAGATCCGCTTCGAGTACAAGGACAAGGAGGTCGTGTTGCTGTCGGCCCATGAGGAGATCCTGGCAGGCGACACCATCGCCAAGGGTGTAGAGAGCGAGATCGTGCGTCTCGGCGTGCAGGTCAAGAAGAACGCGCGGGTGAAAAGCTCGCGTCCGCTGCCGGATGGCAGGACAGAGGTGACGCTCGCGAACGGCGAGGTCATCACGACCGATCTGTACCTGCCGACTATGGGACTCGTCCCGAATACCGAGTACCTCGATGCCAGCCTGCTCGACGAGCACAACTATGTCAGCGTGGATGAATGCCTGCGCGTCAAGGGCGCTGATAACGTCTGGGCGTGCGGGGACATCGTCGCCTCCGCGCGCGCGGGTTTCTTCCTCGCGGACAAGCAGGTGCGTCTGCAGACCCCTCTCCTTCGCGTATACGCTGCTGGAGGTGCCGCGCGCAACACATGACTAACGCTTATTACAGGCCGCCGGCGTGGTCAAGAACATCGAGCTGGCCATCAAGGGTAAGAACCAGCTGGCTATCAAGGGCATGCCCGTCGACGTCTTCATGTGCTCCACGGGCCGCAACCGCGGCGCCGGGCGCATCGGCTGGGTCAAGGTGCCATCCCTCTTCGTTTGGACAGTCAAGGGCAAAACGCTCGGCATCCACTGGACTCAAAAGTATATCAATGGCACTTACTGGTGAAGGAACATATGTATGCACTCGGAATCGGTGCTTCAGAACTGTGATGTCATGTTTGGAAGGCAATGTAGAGGCGTTTTTTCTTTTCTTTTCTCTTCACAAATCTCTTTTTTGGCGTTTATTTACCTACGACTGACTTCCTCTACTAATCAAATGAGGCTCGTGGCCCCCCTTCTCTCTTTTAAGAAAGGTGCATTTGTCCTGCTTCATACAACCACTCTTCCCTTCTCATCGATGCAAGCAGGGGGGAGGGGCAAATATTATAGTTTTACATGCACGTATGCGTAAACAGTACGACGAAACAAACTCCCTACATTGAACGTGAACGGTACCCAGCCAGACCAGCTCCCTTAGCGGGGGGAGGGGGTTTGAAAGAAAAAAAGTATCACCAAGCAAGCTGCCCGAGCGCACCCCCTGAAAATGACGAGAAGAAAACGCTATTTCTTTTCTTCTCTGGTGATTTCCGTGCATCATGTCTCATCTGCTAAGCTTCTCGTCTTCAATCTCCCTCCGCAGCTGCTCAAGCACGTGCTGCCGCGACGAGAGGTGCGTCTCGAGGCCCTCGACCTGCTCCCTGACCGTCTGCAGGTCATCCGATACGCTCTGGAGACTAGCGCCACCCTTGGCCTTGCTGGCCCCGTCCTCGAGATCGCGCAGCTGCTTGCGCTTATAGTCGAGAAGCTGCTCGAGCTCGCGCTTGACGAGGGCGGGCTTGCTGTCCCGCTTGCCGCCCTTTTTGCGCTCGACGTCAGCCTCGACACGGGCCATCTTCTCGTCCAGCTCCTGCAGCTGCTTCTTGAGGCGAACCTCCTCCCAGTCATCCGTCTTGGCAGTCGAGAAGTCGGTGCCGCTCGACTTGAAGCCGCTGCGACCGAGGCGGGTGAGATACTGGTCGCCGAACTTGGCCTTGCGGCCTGTCGCCGTCGAGTCGTCGGCCTTCGTCGCCCAGCGGGACGCGCCGGGCGTCTGGTTATCAAGCTGGTAATCGATCTTGTTGCGCTCGAAGGAGGCGCGGAGGGAAGCGGGGACGGTGCGCGGAATTCGAAACCCTTCGTGGCGGTTGTTGAGGATGTGGAGGAAGGCGAGGCAAGCATCCTTGTTGATGGAGGGACTAGCCGAAGGGTTGATGAGGTTCCATGCCGAGCGGATGTCGGTGTCGGGGACGTCGAGGGATTCATAGAGGTCCTCTAGGGCGGTGACTAGATCAATCACGCATTAGCAAGTGGCTCGAGAGGTTTGCAGATCTTCAGTATGCGTATGGAACGTACATGCCACTTCTCCCCGCGCATCCCGGTTCTCTTGGTATATCGACTCGTACTTGGACTTGTCTTGGGGGCTCATGTACCAGTCGAAGCCGTCCTTCAATCCGGGCGAGTCCGGGTCGTCCTCGACCTGCTCAAACGCCACTTGCCTCCCCGTAAGCGCGCGATTCGCCTGAACAAGATGTGCTTTGGACTCGGGCACCAGCCAGTCGGGGAGTGTCGTCGGTACGTCTGAGTATTCCTAGCAACCCAACCTTGTTAGCACTTCCGCAACGACTCCCCCCCCCCAACTCCATATTCTGTCAACAAAGCGAGCAAATACGCACGCCGTTCAATATATCAAAGATGACTCTCATCGCAACGCAAAACTCTTCAAAGTCGAGGTTGCCGTCATTGTCGACGTCGGCGAGGTCCCACACCCGCTCGAGCTGGTTGTCCGTCAGGCCGCTGTTCTTAAGCACCGGCGCGGCCTGCTCGCCCGTCAGGAATTGACCTCCGCCTGTACGGGCGGAGAAGATGTTCCAGTATGTCTCGATCTCTTGCGCTTCAATACGAGGAGCCATGTTGTGCGTAACGCTTGTGGAGGAAACGTCGGCGGGACAGGAGGACAGGTTGGTGATTGGGGGTGGGGTTGGCCGGTTTGTAGTCAACTCGTGAGGTCCGACTTGTACGTTTGCGCGCAAAAGGTGTACGGACTGGGTGTACGGGGGTCACAAAGGACTCTGGCGGGCGGTTCGTGAATTGTTGAATGTCGAACGGAGATGAGTGTGTTAGGCCGGGGAGGTGTGGATGTTGCTGAGTGGAACGTCGTCAGGCCGCGTGGGAGCTCGGCCAAGGATGTGGAATTGGGGTAATCGGCTGGGTGGGAGGCGGTGCTTCTGTAACCAGGTAGGTACCGTAGGTTGGTACCTTACTTGCAGTAGAATTGGGGCGTGCGCTCGGTGAAGAGGCTCGGTGATGCAAACTTGACCCACAACGCACTTCCAGGGATCCATGCAGCCTTAGCTCAGCGCATCTTATGTAACACACATACATAGTCCCCTTCCGAGCCCGACGACATGACAACTCCTGTCTCCCGAATAGTTGGGTCAAAACGGGTCACAACAACTACGTTCCTTGATTCGTCCTTGTCGTGCATGATTATCTATTGAGGCGGGAAATGGTCTGTGATCCCTGCATGTTTTCAATCAAGAATGCTATCTCGTCCTTAGCTGATCATCAGTGGATGGAAGGAGTGCCTAACAATCGTCTCATGTTACGAGGAAAGCCATGACCGAAGCATACAGAAGCCGATTTCTGTGAAAACCCCGGATCAGATTTCTATGCTACAAGCTATCGCAAAGCTGGTACATCAAACAGAATTAAGGAGCATTTTTTCCAGAGAGCCAAGTCAAAGTGTCTTCTTAATGAAATTCATAATCAGACCAGCGACAGACTGCGAGCAACAAAAAAGGCTGTGGAGAAAATAAAGAGCTGCAAGAGCCTAGTTCAGCGCGCAGACGCAATCATCGCGTGCTTGTTTCAATTCGTTTGCCCTGCTTTCTCCCCAACAACAACGTATTCTTACAAGTCACTCTTCGCTCATCTTCTTGTCCCGAGCGTCAGGATGGACAGCAAGCAGTTTCCGGTTTGGCCAGTTTTTTTCTGATATGTTGAGCGATGATGTTGAGGCTAGGTGGATTTCAGCATTTGCTGGAGTGTGCAGCAGTAAAGCGGTAATCGGCTCAATCCTGCAGTCTCTTTTGAATGCCAGAAGCACATTGGGTGGCTGCCTGAGGAGACTGTCGAATATCGGAGCGTACCTGGCCGGAAACTGGAGAGAAAGCTACTTCAGCGCCGAGTGTCTTCTCCGGGCCACTTGGGGCAAACGAAGGCGCGGCAACGTCGGGCATGGAGTAACTGAGGCCATGTCCTCGGCGAGCTGTCAGGGCGAGATTCTGATGAGTCTCCCAGAATTCCTCATAACTATTGGGGCGAAGGTGCATCACGACATCTCTGCTGACATTGGTCCGAGTCTGTGAGAGATGCGGCTCGGGGTGGGTTGCATGAGGTGCGTTGTAGGGTTGAAAAACATGAGAGCAATACTGTGGCGATGATTTCGCCGAAGTACTAGCCGATGCCGATGCCGCGATTGGAATGGTTGCCGCAGTCAATCCTTCAGTAAAAGCCTGGCAGCCAGCTTCTTTACCAGTGCTTGGATCAGGAGCGGAAGCTGGGTGGCCACCATTTGAGGTGCGAGAAACATTTGTAGCAGACACCTGGGCATTGGGATTGTCTGCAGAAGCCTGGAGCGTGGATAGCTGATCCTGTGTCGGTTGAGTAACAAGGTCCTGCGGTCTAGGGTGCTTTCGCGGACGGCCTCGACCACGCTTGACAGGCTGAAGTGTATTTGCAGTGCCCGTCTGCAACTGAGTGACAGGCTTTGGGTTAGGGCCTAGCTGTGGCAGGCTTGGCTGGAGTAAATTGATATTCTCCTTCTTCCGTAGAGTAGACTTATTGGAATTCGATTTGCGAGGCCGCTTGGGGCGAGGTCGGTATTCCTCGTCGCTATCGGATCTTTGCCTTTGAGTAGACTTGCGACTGCTTAGTGCAGCAGGTGATTCGGGATAATTATCGATCTGGGCCGGAGAGGTGGCGGCCCTTTTTTCCTGCTTTGTGCTCTCCGGCACGGATATATTTCTAGTCATGCTCTTTGAAACGACAGGGAGCGGTGCTATCGTCTGCGCGGTTGTTTTTTGACCCAGGTAATTCTGCGTGGCGTAACTGCTGGCTTGGCGATGCGGATCTTGGAATGTTTTGCCAGAAGACGGAAAGTTGGGTCCAGGGCTACCTGGGAACGTGTTCCCGAAAGACGGGAAGCTGAGTGTAGAACCGCCCATGACTGAAGACGTCTTGAGCTGGCGCGATTGAGAAAATTCTCCTTGGTTGATATAGCTTGGATTGAGTGCAACTGTTGGAAACGCAGCATTATTCGTGCCAGTGTAGGTCGGCATGTAGTTGTGACTTTGCATGCCCACAGGTACTCTCTCGGGGAACGAGTATGTATCACTGCCCAGGTTTGGTCCCGGAAGACAGCCTGGCAGATGAAGAGACCGAACAGGAAGCAACAATCGGCCTACTGAAATCTCACCGCTCATAGTGTGGTCAGATTCAGCCTGTGGCGAGGCCTTGCTGATTTGAATGGTTGGTACCTTCGGCCTGGGCAACGCCTTCAGCCCATCAAAGAGAGGTTGGGGCTCTTGCATTGAGTTCTGTTCCTGCAATAGGATGTTCTCATCTTTCTTTTGTACTGAAAAATCAGGGTAGCCACTCAAGTCGACAGATGGAACCCGATGTTGTGAAAGCAACTCGGGGTCGTACAACTCATCCATTTTGCGGTAATTGATGGTGGTCGTCAGCGAGTTCTTCTCCTTGTCAGTGTGTATTCTCGTCTGAGTTGTGAACATGTATCAAATAACCTTCAACCCGAAAAACATTGGGTCTCAGAGGCTGGAGGGATGAAAATGAATGAACGCCACTTACCTGGCTGCTTACAACAACGGACAACTTGTCCTGGAAAGTCAAGTGAGGAAGGTAGGCTTCGAGTTCACCCAGACACTTCGCTAGGTTATGGAACTCCGACTGAACTCCTCCAAGCCATAGCAATGATTGTCTGGCCTTGTTGCTTTGCGGCAGTTTGATATTTTTGACCTCCAGGCTCCCCATCCCTTTGTCTAGGATCACGGAGCATGCAGCCATGATCTCGGGCTCAATAGGAAGTGTGTGAAAGGTGGTAGAATGACCGCGCCACTTGTTGACCTCCTCAACAAACCCAAACTGGCCTACTTGGAGCAGGTAATTGATTGCCTGAACCCGCTCATGGTCCTGAAGAATATCAGTCGGAAGGCAAGGCCGCTTGAGAGCGTTCGTCTTGTCTGCACTTGCCCCAACTCCTTTAGCCATTTGAAGGAGAACTTCAACAGTAGTTCCGCTTATCTCATTGGCCCATTGCTTTGTCTCTCGATGACAACGGATGTATAGACCAACAAAATCCATGATATCGGTGACCTTCATCTTGAGAAGTTGCGTGGCAGGCACAAATGCTTTGTACTGGCAAAGAGCCAAGAGAAGGACCCATTGCCCACCAAGGGTGACCTGGCACCACTCGATGGGCTCCCCAATATCTTCAGGCTCGGGGCTGCCCCAGTCCAAATCATTAGTCACATTCAAGAGGAACTCTTTGAAGGGTTTGCCTCGTTCAGGACTTCTCTCAGAAATGTTGTGCGCAACCGTTTGGCAGCTGTTCTCATTGTTATCAGCTGCAGGCGTCTGACAGCCCTCCTCATCACCTGTTGTTATTAGCGGAGTCAGGTCATAGCAGTAAGAACTCACTTACTTTCATCGTAGCCTGAATCTGTGTTTTTCTCATTGATGTCACCCCTCTCTCTTGCCGCAACATATGCGTCAGCGCGGCCGGGCTGGTTGAGTGGAACACTTGGAAAGGAGCAATGCCGGGGAAGAGTGTGATCAAAGAGGATGGGTGGATGAACCCAGGATGGGATTTGTACACCATATGCCTGTGACTCCTCATAGTGACCAGGCTTGTGCGACAAAGTCGACTGCCGAAGCTTTCGACCGTCACTTGCTGCCTCTTCCTCCATGAGAGAAATCGCACGTGATGCTTTAAGATGAAGGAGGAGAATAAAGATGAGAGGATAGTAAGAAAAGGTAGTGAGGTAAAGAGCTTTCGGAATGATACTGTTGAAGATACAGCGAGGTCAGTAAAGGATTCTGGCCAGATGAGGTATCGCAAACCGCCTGGCAGAAGCAAAGGCAACATTGGTGGTGAGAGTGCAGGAGGGAGGAGGGATAAGTGAAGAATTGAGAGAAAATAGAAAAGAGTTTATGAGAGTGGAAGATTGTGTTGTGTTGGAGAGCCTAGTGAAAGTACCTGTCTTCCCAATTGCAAGTAGGAAAGAGAAAGAGAAAGAGAAAGAGAAGGAAGGAGCGGTGGGTCTGGTAGACAAGCCGGGACAGTTGCTCCTTCCCTCTGAAAATATGTATGGGGGCTCAGTCAAGTTCTGGGAATGCCCACGTAGATACTTAATAGCCTTGAAATGGCCTCTTAAAGCAAAGTATAGTTGTTCAATCTCCAGCTTTGTCTCCCTCTTGGGCATGTTTTCCTCACAGGTGAGATGCAGATTGTTAGTAGCTATCTAGCTAGATCTTGCTTTCAGAAAATGGAGAGGTGTGTTTTCCTCCCATCTTAAATGCCGTTGGACATCTCATAAGATGAGATACACTTTTCTTCTCTTTCCCTTCGGACATGTCGAGGCGTCCACGCGATGGATAAACCTTCACTGTCAGATAACGGAGCCAGAGAGAGAGTCCCCATGAAAGCCGGTTTTCAAGGTACCAGCTGTCTTTATCGTTATCATCTTTCATCGCAGCTTACAGTTATTGTTCAGTGTTCGGCAAGCCCAGCCCAAAATTCAGTAAGATGTGGATGAACTCCGCAGAAAGCACCTTAAACAACCACGTTGCATAGAAGGAATCTTCGCGATCTTGAACAAGGGGTACAATTCTTGCTCTAGTGGCAAGGTCTCGGAGTCTATAATTGATGACAAAAAAGTTGTTGCCAACTGAAAACGGGTATATCGACACCCCTGACGCCTATCCATGGTTCCAACCGAGTCCTCTTCTTATCCCCTGAATGCAATAGCGATATAACTCCTTGGCAGAAAGATGGTAGTCGTCATCCCGTCAATGCTAGAGTTCCCGTCTTTCATGTGTACTATTCCTTCTCCTCCCCCCTCGCACGCAGGTCTCACGATATCTCCTCATCGGTATCCACCTCACCTGACCGTCGACGTTGTTAGCTAGGATGCCAAATCACGATCGACGAAAGGAGCAAATCTGCCCCGGTCCTGATAGCGTTCACGATCTGTGGTGAATGTCGTATAACCATCATCTGCTTGCATGTCATCCTCATCAAAAATTGATTCAATCCCTCTCTTTCCCCCACCGCTGGGAACGGCGAACTGACTAGCCCGGGGCACATCTCTTATTGCGCTTGAAACGCTTCTCTGAGCATTGAGTATATCCTCGTATGCCTGCAGCATTCTTTTGCCATCCTCGTCAAAGTTGGCGGAGAACCGCTGAATAGAGATGAACTGGACAGCCGAGACCATGTCCTTCCCGTACATGTTCATAATGTAGGCCGCGACAACGAAAGCTGACCGGTCGTTTCCCGTCTCACAAACAACCAACACCTTGCCACTCTTGAAGGTGTCGCTGTCGATAACCATTTGGCCTTCCTGCATGGGCATCGCCTGGCTGCGATACACATTGAGAAGGTGTCCGTTGATCTTTGCCACAACCTCGGGGAAGCCGCGGATCAGCTGGGCGTTGTCCAAGACATCCAAGTACTCAACCAAAATGCCCAGCTTTTGAGCGACTTTGTCCACACTCATGAGTCTGGCTTGGGCGACTCTTGCATGACGCGTCACTATGACCATGGTGATACCCTCCTTTGCAAGCCAAGTCTCGTCGCGAGCGACAGACAAGGGACCGAGATAGAGAAAGTCCAAGATTGTCTGGGCTTTGCGGCGGGACTCGTAACTCCACCCCACCGATCTGTCGGTGGCTGTCTGGGTTTTGTTGCGAGTGATGATTCTGAGATCCTCACTTGTCAAACGCATAGCGTCGACATTGTCAAATGAGGGAACGATGGTGGCTGCTGCAGGTCCCTTTGGATAAGTCATAGGAATCGGAATATAAGGCGGACTCGGGGGCCTGTGGCTGTATGGGGCAGCGGCAATGGCGTCCGAGAGGCGTTCATTCGAGGTCTCCATGTTGCCTTCTGCTTATGAGGGATTTGAAGCAGAATCCGTTGATGGTGATGGTAACGGCATGTGTTTCGCCGCCCGCGTGCGCACTGACTCGACACCGGTAGGGGCGGTTTCGTTCGTTCCCTGCCTCTCACTTTCCAGGCGTAGCCGGCAATGCGAAAGACGTACGTAGTGGCCTAGAGAAGATGCGTTTTTGAGATTTGTGACAGCTTGACTTGAGCCGGATTCCGACGTTGGGCGAGGCGATGTTAAGTCTGGGTGATGTTGATGTTGAGTTGAGATGTGGAGTTGGGGAAGGCACAGAATCGGGGTCGCACGAGGAATCTAGGTTTAATCGGTAAACTGAGCCGTGTCTAGGCCTCAGCGTGCGTCTGAACCGCCCCACTCGGCGCGGCGGCCTACCTACTTGGGTGTACGGTAGACCCGCCAGACAGCTCTAGAGTCAACCCTGTGTCCGTCCAATTCAAATGTCGCTTCTTCCCAACAGGTACCAAACTCTGGATGATGCCGGGCCAATTGGGAGCAGACGCCGTGGTACATGACCGCTATTTTCCTTTTGTCAGTCTCAACCTTGCATATGAATAGGTACGTCTTGCAACGAGAAGAGGTGAAAAGGTCAGGTTCGCACGTTCAAGGTGCAATACATGGATGGCAGTAACAGGCTTTTGAGAAGCGGCTGATTCTTCGGTCGGGTTTTATGCAGGTTGCACCTGCTTCCAGGTCGTTTAGCGAAGCTGCAGCATCCATGTTGGTCGCACAGCATACCTCCACCGGCTACTGCGGATGACTGTCCAGAGGGATTCGGGTCTTGCTATGCAAAGGGAAACACTAACGAACCCACGTGTGCCTATCGATAGATGAGGCTGTCCCCACCTACCCTGTTTGTGGTAGCGTCACAGGTTTGTATATGTAAACCACTGCTGACGGTCCGCCCGGTTGATTGAGGTGGATGGTTAAGTATCATATCCGGACGCAGCGGAGCACGGGTATTACACTACTAAGTGCAACGGACCAGCCAGTTTTTCCCACTTCCCTCATCTTGACACCAAATAACTTGCTGTGTCAACCGTTAGACAAATCACCGGATTCGACCCAATTAAGGCTAGACGTTACTAGAAAATCCAACCTTGATTGTAACATTCCCGCGAAAGAGAATAATACACTCCAGGAGTTATTTCGTTCAAGCATTGTCTATTCAAAAATACGTAGGACATCATGACCAAGGTAGTGTGCAACCGTCTCATAAAGCGCCTTACAACTCTTCGGAAACAGACTCGCCCTTCTTCTCCAAGGCCGTAAAGTCGGTGAAACCGAGCTCGTAAACTAGTCCAAGGGTCATCTTGGCGTGCTCGAGCATGTGGTCAAACGACAGGTACTTGATGGTGTCATCAACGCTGTGGATATGGTTGTCCGAGTACTCGAAGGCCGACTCGATGACGAACGCCGAGGGATAGCCGGCCTTGCTGGCGGAGGCATGGTCAGAGCAGGCATATCCGCACTTGGTCTCAACATAAGGAACCTTGCAGTACTGTAGCTTTGGTTAGCATGATGGCGCGCCAGTCATGGTGAGCAACTAGATCGACTTACCTCAACAATAACCTTCTTGATGAAGCCGGTCAAGCCAGGGTCAACAAAGTCAGTAATGACGCCGACGCTCTCGGGCTGTCCGGCATCCAGAGTTCTTTGCACGAAACCAGTCATGTCCTGCTGGAGCATGGCCTTGATATCACGGCCTTCCTTCTCGTACGACGAGAAGATGGCCTGGCTACCAAGCAGGCCGCCCTCCTCAGCACTGTACCAGTGGAATTCGATTGTGTTGTCGGCCTTGCCAGAAACGATGTCCTTGGACTTGAGCAGAGTGCGGAAGGCTTCTAGGATAGTCATGGAGCCGCTGCCATCATCGTCGGCACCGGGAGCCGCAAGAATCGAGGGCAGCCACAGGTTGATGGAGTCTTGGTGGGCGCCGATGATGACGGTGCTGTTGGACTTGCCGGGTATGGTGACAATGATGGAGCTTTGCTGCCAGGTATGGGGGAAGGGCTGGGCGTAGACGTTCTTATCGGCGCCAGCATCTTTGATGATGGAGTCAATCTTGGCAAGAAGCCACTCGGACGACTGGCGGCCATAGTCGGACTTATAATAACGGGTATGGAAGCTGGTGAACTTCTCGAGGTTCTTCTGGATTTCAGACTTGTCAAGGTCCTTGAGCAGAGGCTTGACTTTGTCTTGGAGAGAGCACTTCTCGGGGAAGACGCTCTTCGTCTTTGTGCGGAGGCGAGTGGCGCCGAGGTCCTTGTGATCGGTGATGTCGAAGAAGCGGTTACCGTTCTGGGAGAAATAATGTCAGTGTGGCATACAAGCAGTGGAAACAAGGGGGTCCTACTCGGCGGAGCTCCCACTTCTCCTCCTCAGTGACCCAGCGAGTGTCGCCTGGGGCGAGCTCAATCAAGTACTTCTCGGGCTCGGAGCCGGCAGGATACAACTGGACGCGGTTGATCTCGTCTTCGGCAAGAAAGCGGGCGCTGACCGAGTGCGCAAGTATGGTAAGAAGCGAAGCTTTGGCGACCTTCATCTTGGAAATGGGGATGCTGGAGAATGAGTTTGGAGATGATGCGGGATGTAAGTGGGCGGATGTGGATGTTGAAGGGAAGAGGGAAGTCGGTTGTCGTCACCTCGGCTGCACTGATAGGTGCCTAGATAGCGACTCCGCGGGTCTGCGACAGCTTGAGCTCCCCTGTCTCGAATCGCACATCATCCCCGCGCGTTGCCTGGCTGGTACGCGGTATTACTGGCCAAATGCTGTTGGGTGGGTACCTGACCTTGGGTACGTACCACGGATAGCCGCTTGGGTCATCCGAACCTCACGTCATCGGACTCTTCCTTTTCCAGAAGGTGTATACGATGGCGAGCCCACCAAATGCTACAAAGAAGCTTGATCAGGACATGGGCATTGCGAGACAGCTACCGAGTGCGACACCGGGCAGGCGACATCTTCAGCTTCAATGGTACGTACGTACATTGCCTAGGATTGAATGATATTTTCTTTCATCGGGACCCCTAAAGAACGCAAAAAGACATGCAACACCAGGCATTCGCCGGTCGTCTCCGACCCGACTACTACTCTGGCCCTCACTGGTTTATCTATGAGAGAGCGGACGGGATCTCGAGTTCTCCAGTGGGTGTGGTCGCATGTGATAGGTGACCAACCTGAATATGTTTATGTATGCTGTTACAGCGCACCAGCTAGATGATTGTAATACCATGAAAAGTCTGGGCCGAACCTCGATTGAAAAGTGCGATGATCCTTCTGTTCAGACCCAAGACCTGTGCAAGCATGGTGTGAAGAGACAATAGCTATCTATCGTGAAGGTGGGCGTGCCCAGGGCCTTGCATCATCTCATCGCAATCTCATGTTTCCAGCCCCTCCGGTTCAATATACTGAAATACTCAATCTGTTAGTATTATCTGTCTTGCTGTTGAACACATATTCCTCGTCGAAGTTCCCTTTAAGAACTAATGTTGGGTCTAATATGAGATAAGACGCGACGATACAAGTCATGCGGTCAACCCGAACTCTATCAACCTAGTTCATCCCATCACGGTCTTCTAGAGCAGCTCGGGTAAGTTTCAAAGGCGTAGTTTTGGTAATTAGCGAAAAGCTGCGTGATAAAAGAGACTATCGAATCTCAATGCACGTTTAGACACAATTCAAGATTATGCAGGGCACCATAATCTCGGTCCGCACCCGAGGTCTTGGCCCTTGCGGCCTTTCAACGTCCTTTGCACTCTGGCTTACATGATGCCACGATGACGGTGCAAAACATGCCGCTCTCCAACGACAGAATATCCATGTCGAACATCTAATATGAGCCATAAGTCGTTCACTACAAGCCTGGGATCAGGCCAGAGTCCATGCGTTATACTGGGACCACTGTAGCCGCGCGGCCTTGACTGTGAGTTTGTCTTCAAGCTCTAGCGGTCGATATATCTTTTGGCTTGTAATTACGGTTCGATTTCTCCCTAGCATTTTGCTATTCATGTCGTTGTTTTGAGCGGCATGGCTGCAAACGTGTCCCTCTTGTGGCAGGCCTCCCAAGAACTATGCAGCGTGGAGAGTCTTAGGTCGTCGCTATGTGTTTTGCAACACAGCGGCCTGCTTTGGTCGTCGTCCAAGTCTTACCTATTGATCACTACATGTTCTCTTATTACTAGCGCTTTGAACGCCATCATCATGTCATGACATATCACCTTTGAAAAGATGCGCCGAAAGACGCAATCGACAGCCAGCTTGATGGTGTTCGTGAGCCCCCTCCCATGAGCTCGGTCGGCCGGGATCCGACCCCATGTGGCTCACTGCGCGCATTTCAGCCCCAACCATCGAGACCCAACACAGTATCCATAATCACCCACCGTCACGATTCAGTATTGCTTATTCGATGATATCACTACGGCCACGGCCAGTCTCCTAGTTGAGGTAACCAGGTGACCTACCGGCTCCCATCCGCGCCCCTCTGGCACACTTTCGAGTTTCCCACCTGGTGCTAGAGAAAAGGAAAAAGGCACAGACGGAGAGAACGCGATAGAGAGCCGCCCAGCTGCTGTAGCGAGTGCACATTGGTGCGATTCCCAACGCGGCATCGCGGCTTCGCCCTTTGAACTCTATCCGAGCCACAATCCAATCGCGGGGCCTACGACTGGATTTTGTCTTTGTTCCTCAAGGTAAAGCAAAGTAGGTCGACGAAGTAGGTAGGTTGTGTTAGGACGGACGGATGCGGGTGCTCGGACGACAATGATATCACCCCAACAGCGCCGCATGTTCCCCAATGGCCTCCCCGCGCTCGGACGGCTTCCAGAGTAATCTGCGTCCGACGGGCTAGCAATGTGAGTAGCATGACGTGAGCTAATCTCTCTCGATTCTACTTCTACACTACGACACACCTCACACCTTGCAATTCAGCGGCCTCTCCTTGGACCTTACACCAACCTTAGCAGGAAGTTACTTGCAAGCAAACAAAAACACCGACGGGGTCTATCAACCTCGAGCGAGTGTATCAACAGCAAGATGGCGGACTCTAGCCCCCCGAGAAAGAATTTCGACCTGATCAAGCGCGGCGTCAAGAAACCCAACGTGCCGGGCACCCTCACCTTCATCGGTCTCCGCGGCCTCGACCCGTTTCTGCAATACCAGCTCATCGCCGGCGGCCTGGGCGCCTCCATCCTCGGCCGGATTGGCGTGCGCTCCATCCCCTTGGACGTCGCCGCGCTCTCCACGACGGCCATCTCCATCCTCGACAACCTCAGCCTCCCACTGCCGCACCTCATCCTCCTCGGCATGTCCGTCGGCTCCTTCGCTAAGCATGCCTACTGGCTCGTCTTCCTCTCGGCCGAGGAGTTCCCCGTCTCCAACGCCATCCCCGTGAGCTTTTACAACACCCTCGTCAACAGCGCCAACTCGCTCCTCCTCATCGCCGCCTCCACTTCCGTCCTCAACTCGCCCCGTTACTTCCCGGGCACTGCCCTGCCCTACCAGGTCGTCCTCGGCAGCGCCCTCTACGCCGTTGGCATGTTCCTCGAAACCGCCTCCGAATGGCAGCGTAAGCAGTTCAAGGACAGGCCCGAAAACAAGGGCAAGGTCATCAAGAGCGGCCTCTGGAGCTGGGCGCGCCACATCAACTACGGCGGCTACGCCATGTGGAGGGCTGGGTACTGCATGGCCGCGTCGGGTTTCATCGGCGGCACCATTATGGGCGTTTGGCAGGCAGTCGATTTCCTCACGCGCGGTGTGCCGGCGTTGAATGAATACTGCTCGAAGCGGTACGGCGAGCAGTGGACGCAATTCAAGAAGGAGGTGCCATGGGTGTTGATCCCGGGCATCTACTGATGGATTGGCTGGGGTTCGATCTATTACTGTATCTTATCGTCAAAAGTGGTCAATTGCCATTCGGGGTCGGCCGCAAGAAAAACGAAACCAGATTTCCATGGTGTTCAACCATAGTGGCACGTCTTCAGCTCATGCTGCGAATGTGAGACAAAGTCCTTTCTGCCGAAGTTGTCTCAGCTGGGGTATGTGAGTATCCTGAAACTGTGGACTTGCTGTCGTCCGCAAACATGAGTGAAAACCGCATGAAGAAAGTCGTGTCAATACCCAACCCGCGAACCAGCGGGTATATGCTCTCCTTCCTCACCAGACGACGCTCGCTCGCTCACATGCTGTCCTCCATCTGTCGACTCCGGACCTTAGCCCAGTCGTCGCGCTCCTTCTTTCCGCCTTGCTGCTCCAAGCCCATGCCGCGCTCAACCCACTCCTTGCTGCCCATGTGGCTCAGACGAGAGAGCGCACGCGCAAACGCGAAGGCCTCCTCGTCGCCCGAGAACAAGCCCTGGAGGCCCTTGATCGAATCAATGTTGTGGTCAATGTCCTCAAGGAGATGTGTCGCGCCGCTATCGTTCTGGCCTAAGTCCTTCTTATCCTGCTTCCCCAGCGATTCCTCCAGCTCGGCGCGCGAGACGAAGAGTTCCGTCAGGGGCTTCTCAGTCGTCAGGACAAGCTTCGCGTGCGACTCGTAAACGGCGTCGATGAAGGTGATGAAGCGACGTGCCAGGTCCCGCTGGCGGTACGTCATTCCAGGTACGTCGGTAATGACAAAGGCGTCGTAGTTGCGCACCAGTTCGAGGTAGTCCGCCGCCGACGTCGCCTTGCCGATGAGCTCGTCAAATGTGAACCACGCACAGCGCCCGCTGACGCGCGGGACGTGGATCTCGCGACCCCAGACGTTCTGCACCTCCGAGTGCGGCGCCGGGTTCTCGGGGTCGCCAAGGAAGTTGAACCACTTCTCGGCGTGGGAGTTGGCGTGGGCGTCAAGCGGTGTATGGTACACGCCGGAAGGGGGTCTCGGGATCTTGCGGTAGTCTGTCGGCGAGTCCAGATTGATAACGTGTAGCCTGCTCTTGAGCAACTTGATCGCCGGAACGAAGGATTCCCGCTGAATTCCGTTCTTGTAGAGTTCGTCGGGGTGCCGGTTCGAAGTCGTGACCAGTACGACGCCATGTGACATGAGCGATTCAAGTAACCTACCAAGGTATCAGTCAGTAGCCGTCGCTCAAGCTCCTAGACCGCACCCCGCACCACCATTTACCTTCTCAAAATCATGGCGTCCGCCACGTCTGTGCACTGGAACTCGTCGAAGCAGAGAACGTTGCCCTTGGCTGCAATATCCGCCGCAACGAACGGCACAGCGTCGATGTCGACGCCGTGCTGCATCTTCATCTTGTGGAGCCGCTTGTGGACGTCCTGCATGAAGTTATGGAAGTGTATTCTCGTCTTGGTCTTGACGGAGCTCGGAAGTGTGTCGTAAAAGAGGTCCATAAGCATTGTCTTGCCGCTGCCGACGTCACCATAGAGATAGAGACCGCGGGGGAGGTTACTCGGAATCGCGCCTATCGTGACCCGGGCCCCCTCGCCTCCGCCGAACCAAGATCCAAACATCGACTTTGCGGGTTTCAGGGACTCGAGAGTCGGGTGGACAACTTCAGGCGCGTCGTAGTTGACCAGCTCATCGTGGAGGTGCTGGAGGCTTTGGATAATGCCTGCCGAGCGTCAGCATGTGATCCTCGGTTCCTTGCGATCGGGGTTGCCTCATACCTCGTTGGTGCTCGTCGTTGCGCAAAACGCCGGTGTCGACACGGTGATCGTATTCTTGGAGCGGGCCATGATGGTCCTTTGCGACTGTCTCACTTCAGACTCTGTGCTGCTGTCGTCGGTGGTGTATTCCTGGACCTACCACTATTTCCTTCAGTCGCAGCTGAAACCGTCGATGCTTCCCTCCTCTGCCCTCTATTACCGGAGAATTCTTTGGGAATCCTCGCAAAGTGGCGGATTGTGATGGTGTCTGTTCGGGTTACTAGACATGATGTACAGAGTGAGTGGCGGAGGGCACTGTGCCTCGGGAGACTTCGGGCGATCGGCAGCACACCAAGTCGGCTGAGAGGATGCAAAGATCCAGCTCTGCGCATTGTAGCTGGAGGGAGATGCTAACAAAACACAAAGTCTAGGGGCATTGAAATGAAATAAAACATGTTACGCAAGTATGCGCGCTATATCGGTGATGTGCAGTGTTGGATTAACGAAATCGCTTTGAGAGTGGTGTACGGATAGGAGGAAAGCGACAAAAACAGTCCGGTTGCCGGGAAAGTGCAAGGTCCCTTGTAAAATGACGCTATTGCCTACCACACTGCCGCCGGCTCTCAGAACTGGTGCCGAATTGAGCCAGTGGAGGACTGGAAAATTGGCGGCAGCAGAAGGGTGGGGAAGCCGAAAGAAGCCGAACTCCGGACCATGCCGACATCGGTCAGCTCGGTCAGTGTGTGGCGGGGCTCCCTAGCCGAAATGTGGCGATGACTACAAGACTGAACGTCATGATTCTCCGTCTGAATAGGGTCTTCTCTCCAACGGTCATATCGAAGGGTTCTACTGGACTTGTTGGAAAGGCTTTTCATGGCAACCTCTATTCGAGACCGGTGACTGCCAAGTCCACCTAAACTCGAGTGCACAGCCGTGGTGGCAGACAGATACCAAGAAGAAATTCTGAAAACCTACCAGCGTCATCAAGTGGTCGCTCACTGTATTAGAATGAGGTCTAGGTTCTCTTGTAATCAAAAGACCGGAGCCGCATTTTCTGAACAGGGGGGCCGTAACTTACTAGACAAGATTCAGGCTTCGAGCAACAATCGTCACGGTTTTTTTTTTCCTTTCTTCTTCTTTGTCCCCCCCCCCCCCCCCCCCCCCCCCCAACACACATAGAGAAAACCTGAGCGCATTCTGAACCTCAATATTAACTACGTTGACGGTGTTCGTCGTGCTCGTAAATGCGGTCGGACAGTACCCTGATGGCGATGGCGGCATCGTCATTGTTCCGTATGGCTAGAACTTCAAGTCTTCCATCATGCCTGATTCAAGTAGTTCTGCGCCAGAGTAGGCCATAAAAACTTCACTAAATTCACACTACAGTTCAAGGCTTCCTTCCTTCTTTCTGAGGTGTTAGGGAAGAATCGCGAACTTATTCAAGGGTAAAGTAACGGGGCATCAGAAAGTGGGGGAGGGGGGAAGCTATAATCAACATCGTAACGCTTACTGCCTTGGAGTCTTTTAGAGTCTCTTGAATGAAGTCGTTTTACAACCCTGAAACACTCATTATGTTTTTAATACAATACGTTAACCGAAGTTTTTGTTAGCCATAAGTGCGCCACTAAAGTCGGCGCGCCGCAATGCAAAGATAAGTCAGACTGCCAGGGCATGACATGACTGGAATTCAAGCAGAGGCCAGGCTTCAATTTGTCACTAGACCACCCCGAATCAGGGTTTTCTGCTTCGTCTGCTTTCAATGCAGTTTGCTAATAACAGCTTTGCTCACCTCTTCCCTAATCTCCAGTCATTGATCTAGCAACCGTATTCGCTAGATCCGGTCGTCAGGGAGGATTGTAGAGGCGGTACTTGAAAAATACACTCGACTATAAGTCACATTAGTGTTGAGTCTGTCCATAGCGCCAAAAAAGGGGGCGACACTCGTCTCTGGCGCCAGCGGCGGCTTCCCTCCCCGAACAGCAACAATCCATGTCTCAAGACGCCGACCTCCAACGACCCCCACGGGCTAGATAATGCCACGAACAGGCTTAGTTGACTCGGTGCCTGCTGTTGGAAACAACACCATCCACCTGACACCATGATCAGTTCTCACACGGCGCCAAAATCCTTCGTCTCATGCCCCTGACCGACCAAGATCGGCAGAGATGCCACAACCATTCCATGCAACCGGCCGCCCAGGCGTAGCGCCTGCAGTCACCCTCGCAGGAATTATTATGAATGGCGGTCTAGTAGACTCAGAAAAGGTGGGGGAAGTGGTTGAGCCCAGAAAAGTAGGTAATATCGGTAGTAATCAGCCTAGATTGGTCGGCTGATGAGAGGCCGCGAAGGGAAGAGGAGGGGTCAGTTCGCTCAGACTCGTGCGGGACCGAACAACTCAAACTGCTGGCAGAAGCAGCGCTCTACTCGGTTTTATGCAAGCTGAAATGGCTATAAACTCTGCCGTCTCTCAGGAGTATCGGTCGATGATATATCATGGGCCGACATCGTGACCGCCAAACTTTCGAACGATCAGAATACGACAGGTATGAGGTTTGATGCTCCTTTTTCTGACCACAGGAGTGGCAGGACTCAGCAGGACGCACAGAAAAAGGGTTTTGGGTTGACTGAGGCCGCAGCCCTATCTGCCAACTAATAGCTTCTTGAGTAAGAACATGTGGCAATAGGCCACGGCTCTATCGTACGCTCCGGACCACAGACACGTCACACTGAGCGCCAAACCTTATTCGTGGTGTGGATGCGTCGCCGGCCAAGTTTAATTCTCTGATTTGAATCTCTTCCGCCTTGCCATCATTGGTGATTTATGAGACTTTTGGGGGGGGGCAAGGAACGGAGGTGAGACTGGGAAGCGCCCCCCAGCCCGCCACACCCGCGCCGATGTGGATACTATACCCTGAGTAGCTTACATCCGACAGTAGAGCAAGCCCATTGTGTTCCTTTCTCTGTTATGTTTTTCTTACTCTGCCCTTAGTAACACCCGACTGCGAGATGGTCGAATGCTGTCGAGGCGTTCGGTGTACAACTGTTGTTATCAACAAAGACGCGGTACTGTCCGCCTCATTCATCGGACAGATCATGAACATGGCAATCAACGCAACGAGAACCACCAAGCAGCACACCCTTGATGTGCTTTGTTACCTCTGTTCTTCAACATGATGGTCATCACCATGTTACAAGCCATGAGGGTTTCGACATTGTCGCCAGTCACCAAGAAAACAGTCTTCCAGCCCCTGTCTTTCCTCCAATCCTTCCTTACTTCAGGTATACGAACACCGTCAGGGTTACATTGCTGCAGTTCCGGGACTCCCAACGCGCCATCGGCTAAATCTCTCAACAAAATCGACATGGGTTGAGCGAGAAAGAAGGCGGTTGGTGGTTACGAAAGGCATTTTTTTTCCGTTGCTGGCGGCTGGTTGAGGCCGACCGACCCCAGGATTACGCTCCTGATCGACCAACCCGAGAACCTGGTTTGTCAGATCTGCCAACAGAACAATCTGGTATCCCAGGACCATGGCGAGGAAGGTTGGGAGATGGTACCGGAAAGCGTGCACGATAGCCGAAGGAATCACCATACTATAACTGTTCTCGGCGTTACACACATGCTCTGGGAGCTGCGGTCGAGGTAGGATTCGAGATTTGCAAGTGAAGATTTGTGCAGGCGAGGAGTCGGTTTCTGACGTCTGAGAGCCAGGCGGATGTTGTAATCTTCTTGCGCAGGACGAGGCTGATTTAGAAAGAAAGAAAAAACATCATTTTTTTGCAAGAGTACCAAGTTGACGAACTCGAGGCTGACCCACAGAAGAGTGATATGCAGAGGTGAGCTGACCGCTGGGGCAGAAAACGGTTGGTTACGGACTCGTGGTACTGAGATGCCCCGACTGCCGGTCAAGTGGACGAGGACTATGGTACACCACGTACCTAGGTACCATTGGGTGAGGTACGCCAAAGTGGTTCTCGGATGGGCGCGTCACAGTTGCCAAAAGCAAGGATTACTGATGAGTCGAATGTTCTTCGGATGGAGGGGGCTTTTTTCGTCGTCTGACCACTTGCCCTTGCATTGTAGCATCAGCATCGAATTAGAGGGAGAATATTCCATCTGACTAGGATGACAAGCCCGGGAGCCCTGGCAATGGAGACCGGGTCGATGGATTGGTAATAATATGTACACGTATGCTGGTGCACACTATACACTAGGTAGAAGAGAGAAATTCCGAACAGTTTCCTAGTCATAGGAAGATGCTAACTGTCAGGTGTTACGGAGACGCTCGCCTGGGTTGTTTAGTGACGATATTTCATGGTATTGGGTTTATGTCTAGAAACCTTTCATTATGGTGTTGAATAGTTGACATGATGCTTAGAGTGTGTTTATCCGACTGCACTAGAGTGTTATTGTGTATCTTTGTCATCCATCTTAAGAGGGAGGAGCGCCTTGGATGTAGTATACCTCAAGCATGGAGACGCTCATGGACGATAGATAAGCTGGACGGGGAGGGGGAGGTGTCCCGATTGTGGCAATCCGTAAGCCTCTGTCCACCGAGCTTTTAGCTATTCCGAGCGATTTTCAAGGATGCAAGGGTCGCCATAGAGATCCCACGAACGTGATGAATGCATAAGCTTCCAACGGGTCACATCCGCCAAGTCGGCAACCACACTAAGAGGCTGTTGGTGCTCGCGACGCGAGCATAGGTGGGAGGGGGACTGATATACAGGTGCGTACAGTAGTAAGTTGGTCTCGGAACAAATTCCGGGAGGGAGACGATAGGAGGAGGCAAATGAGCCGGGGGCGGCGACGCTAGACAAATGTAGAAGGATCTTTGACTATCAGTAACATTGGCCACATGGCACCCAGCGGGCAGGGAGGCACCTCAAGGCGGAGGAGGCAGAATAAACGGGCATTTTACCCGCCGGTTGGTCTAATTTAGCGCCAATGACCCCCGGTCAAGCCCCCCAGTCTCAATGTCCCGTTTATTTATAATACCTACCTTTCTTTGCTATGTCCCGGAGACACATGCCGTGCGGCAGCACTCTGCAACAATGCCATGTACTTGCTTGGTGCTTGAGGGATTTAGACTCGGCCCGGCGGATAGCACCGGACCGCGACGTGGGCTCGTGGGGTCTCGGAATGTCGAAACCGCATCCCACTTGAATTGCCCAACTTGCACGTATCCTCTGTTCCACCCCACGCTCCGGTGTATTCATATTCTGTGTACACTACACTATGCCTTCTGCCTTTTCCTGCCGGTGAAGGATTTACTGGCTGCTCACCGAACCATGGTCGAAGCGTTGGTTGACATGTTGTCTCCTTAGTATTTAAACCGCTCGTCTCGTCGCTGGAAAGTGTAGGTGATCCCGGATCCTTTCCGTCCAGAGAAGACCAAGCGAGGATGAACGAACGCTCGCTTAGTTGCCTAGCGTGGGTGATTCGGCCAACCAGAAAGTCACATCTGACCTTTCTCTCTGTGGCGATGGCAATATGACTGCATCCGTACACTACATCCAGTCGACGGGGGGGTACACGGCCTTTGTTGGATCACCATTACCAGCATTTGGCTCGGTATTCTGCTTCAAGATAGTCTGTCCCCGCTCTATAGGCCGTACCGAGCATTTACGCCGCATTCCTAGCCAGTGGAACAGGCCCGCCCGTGGATGTATGCACAAGCATGTCTGAAGACCAATCTCCAAGCCGGTGGCCTTCCCATTATGGCATTAGTACGGACTAGCCAAGAAGGCTCCAAGCCCTCCCACAGCTTGAATGATCGGTACTTCAAGTCTTGCTACTTCACGTTTACACTTATACTGTCGTTGAAGATTAACGAACGAGAGCGGCTGCTATTGTATCAAGGCTCAGGGATTCATCATCTTCTGGGCATACTTGTGGCCTGTTACTAATGACGCGTCCGCCTAGCATTTTGGGCCCTCGTTGTCCCATAACCAGTTGCCCATCATCGCACCGATTATTCCCCATCACAACTCAGAAATCAAATTCTTCATGTATTGCCCCATGTCTATTCTACTGCGGCCGCTTCGGGTAGTTTATGGAGCAGCATGGATAGCATCTGGGATTGCTACAGTGCCCCCCCCTCCCCCCCCTATTGTATTGTACTGGGACACTGGTATCAATGCCAAGTGCTACCGTTGCCCTGGTCGTGCTCCTCTCCAGAGACTCGACCCCACGTCTTTGAATGGTACTCTCCTAGGCCGTCCTCGTCAATTTTACCGGAGTAATCAGGATCCCCAACTCCAACGGTCTGCGCGGGTCGAGGCCTTCCCAGAACCACATCGTTTCAGAGGCGATATGACTGGCAAGAATCACCCAACAGTCACATTACGGGGCCGCCAGCATTTCCGCCCCTACGGTTCTCTGACTTACCCTCAGTTTCCAACTAAAACGACTCTAGCGCATTGCAGTGTCACACAAGTGGCTTGGGGCTTGGGTTTGTGTGGCTCATGCCCCGCTCCTTTCAGAGATTTGGATGGCAAGAACACCCAACGAAGAGTTTTCAGATTACCATCATGTCCGATTCTGTGCGAAACCGTCCCCTCTTATCGAGACGCAACCCCCTTTAAGCGGACATACATAGTACACTGCTGCTGGCGGCTGGGGGAGGAAGAAAGACCATGAACCCAGGCATGATGCCATTCATATTTTTTGTCAGCTGCATGAGTTCACCTCAACCTGCCTAGTTGTAAGGTATTGGGTGTGTTTTCAGCTGCCTCCTTGAATATACATACCCCTACCAGACAGAGCTCATCATCCTTGTTCCCCCCCCCCCTCAACGGCCCGGCGTCGGCCAGGCCAGGCCATCCTCCACCCGCATTGCAAGCTACTTCTTCCCGCTTATGATCCTTTGCGCTTTCTTTTACTCCAAGCAACAGGCCTGACCTGTAGGTACAACCGGCTCAGTGGCACTGCTAGTTAGTTGATGGGCTCATTCACTCACCCTCGTCACCCTAGTGAAACAAGCGTCACCTACGGTTATTAATCACCGCCTCATCTTTACATGATTTGATGCCCAACGTTCCGATAAAGTTCGCTGTCACCTTGTGATGCATAAAGGAGCCTCACACTTGTCATTGTTCCGCACACAAACACCACCCATCACCTCCAAAGACGCCATTTTATACTCTCTACAGCACGGAAACGCGCCAGAAAGAAGCCAATGGAAGCGGTCAGTAGTGGCTTTTAGTCTTTAGCCCCGGCAGAATGGGCACGGCCAGCATTTTGTGTTTTCTGAGGAACGACTTACCAATATCTTGACCGTAGGAAAAGGAGAGGAGCCGCATCCGGGACAACCAGCGTAGATCCAGGGCTCGAAAGAAGGAGTACGTCCTCGAGATCGAGCAAAAGTTACGAGATTGTCAATCCCAAGGGGTGGAAGCTTCGGCTGAAGTGCAACAAGCTGCGCGTCGGGTTGCCAACGAAAACCACAAGCTCCGACAACTTCTCTGCACACTGGGCCTAGTCGACAGACAGATCGAACAGTATATCAAGACAGGAGAACTGGACCCTTCCATTCACAATCTACCACTTGATGTACGTGAAAGCAGGACTGCCGCAGCCGGCCAGGAAGCAGCCGCGTTGGAAAGCCTGCTTGTTCCACGGTGGCCAGCCTGCCTCCAAAACCCCATGCCGTTCGTGTCAGGAAGTCGTTCGGGGAGTAGCGATCGAACCCTTACCTATGGCCCGGCATCAAATTCCTCGGCTGAAGACTATGGTCCTTCGGCCGAAGACGTCCAGCAGTCGTACGGATTGATGAGCGCATCGCCAATAAACTTGAACCCTTCACCAATCTATCCACAGCCCGCACATCCTCAAACCCACGAATACGGCAGTCATCAGCTGAGCCGAGAGAATCTCCAATATGCAGAATCCAACCACAGCCAGACAAGTCATAACCCGTCGTTGAACCCGCCTGGGTATAATCCGAATCAGACGTTCGATTATCAACCGATTTTCGCGGCAGGAAATCCATTAATAGGCCATCCACCCCCAACCTGCTGCGGGCCGCCGGCCGCAACATACGTTGTTTATCATCCCTCGCATCAGCAGCCGATATCCTACGTTGCGAGTCGCCTTGGAAGCAGTGCCAGCAACACCTCCGGGCCCGCTTCGGTGGCTGATGCCGATTTGAGTGTCGAAGAACGAGCATCACAGCAGACGGGCAACCCTGACGACAACTCTTGGCTACCAAAGACCCATTTCAACCGAGCGTACTTTGAGCGCCGGAATGGCTGAACGCAACAAAGTTATCGCTTACCTTTGAGAAAAGGCCCATGAGCCACATACATACCTGTTGCCTCGAGTTGCCGGCCGAGCCAGCTTGCGACAAAAGCCCCCGAAAGAGCAACGCCAAAGCCCAGCCAACTCGGTCCTGGACTTGAGGTGAAATAGTACAAGCCGAGCCTAACTTACGCGCCATTGTTCTTGGGGAAGCTATTGTTGTACAACAATTCAGACGGACAGGGGTAGTAAAGGTCGATTAGGTCTTGTTGTGCTCGAACCCCCTCCAATCCCCCCCTTCGAAAAGAACAAGAACGCTTCAAAGAACAAAGACAGTGTCTTCCCTTGAATATTTCGATACGATCGGGTGCTAAAAATGTCTCGAGCTCTTTACAGTAAACAGACCATGCAACCCGGCCTTGTACACCACTCTTTGTGTTGAATGCAGCACGTGGAGAAGGCATTGCGATGTTGCATATTGCTGGCTGGTAGTATAGGCCGCATGCCATTGAGGCAAACAGGTCAATTCCCTTATTACAGGGTTTCTTTGACAGATTTTGAAGAGCTGAGCACGAAGGGGGACGTTAAAGTAGCAGAATCCCACAAATTGTCGTCGACCGAAATCCTGCGTCTTTTGCCATCCCGTCCTAACTTTCACGTTCTCTTTTTTTCTTCAGAAATACACTTATCTAAAGAAGCTTCCGTACTGAACAGGCGTCGAATGTCACTGGAACACACCCAAGCAGTGTTCGGCCTGCTGTCCGTCTTTGCGACCTCCCACCGGGTAGAGCACGAAAGGGTCAACGCGGAATACGAGGCCCGAAAGGGGCTACATACCAAGGCGATAGAGTGCCTCCAACATCTCCTCGATGAGCTCGACGAGGCGTGCGGTATACTGTTGAGCTTGGAGCCCCCAGATCGAGAGGATGCTTTCGCAACATTCGAAAGCATGCAGCGCATGCTAGAATCACAAATTACTCTGATCCACAGCCAGATCGAGCATGTTGACCGGGAGGTATCCAGCGCCGTGCTGACGCCGCCCCGTGACCAGAGTTCTCCTGTGATTCAGCAGCAGCAGCAGTTGTCTCCCCTTCCCCGACCGAAGCCACCGACTCGTTTGCGGCAGAGGCCAGCGAATTTCACGCCGCCCGTTCGAGACAATACAGCAACACAATTAGCCGGGCTTGGTATACAAGAGTCGCCGCCCCAAGGGACGCCATCTGACGTTCTGTTACGTCCTCCTCGAGGCTCTTTCAAGAGAATAACAAGATTGCCGGTACCAGAGCCCCAAGAGCCCGCCAATGGGACCGTGAAGAAGCCCCTGTCTCCGGCGGTGGTTACAGCATCGAGGCGCACGTATAAGCCATGGCCAACCGCAGACGCAGACTATTCGCGGCCCGCGCTGAAGCCCATAACGTTCAAGATGGAACGGGATACACTCCCGCGGCTGCCGGGGGACATGGGCGGCGCAGTGCACATCCGGAGACAGCTCGACGAACAGGAGGAGGCGGACGAACAGGCGCGGACGCACAAATGGCTGAAGGATATCGGGCAGCACCCGGACGGCGAGGGCGGCGAAGGCGACGACTCAGAACCTCGAGGCCAAAAGAGGCGCGCGGAGGACGAGCTGGGTTCACCTCCCAGTAAGAGAACCAAGGTACGCCGTCTCCGGGGCGGGAACGACAACGATGTGAGCGTAGGGCTGAGAAAACTCTTTGGCAGTCTCAACCCCTTTAGAAAGAGGCAGCCACCCGGCCCAAGAAACGACGGCTCTGCAACCGGCAGCACGAAAACCAACTGCTTCGTAAATGGTGACTCTGACGGCGAGGGGCCGAGGAACCCCAACCCAACGAACAAGGACCCCGGCGGCGTGGACGGCGCGCCGACCCCGCCGCCCGAGGAACCTCTCCCGGAGATCCCACCGCCCGTCATCGTGATGGAAAACCTGCGCGACACGTTCGGCGACGGAGAGGACGACAAGAGGGCCCGGCGCTACCGCGACTGGTTCGCGTCTCTCATCGCCCTCACGGAGTCGACGCCAGGGTCCATCATTGGGCCGGGCTTCCTGGAGCGCTACGGGCAGAGGAAGAAGCTCGAGAAGCTGAAGACGGCGCTGGGGCACATGTCCGTCAGGCCCTTTGAGAAGCGGCAGGCGACGCAGCGGAGGATCAAGTCGCTCGAGGGCGGCATGAAGCAGTGCGGGGAAGCGGCGGTGAAGCTCACGGATACGGAGCTCGCGGCGGAGTGGGAGGTGGAGAAGAGGCAGGAGGGCCTGGAAGAGTGTTACGGGAAGATGGACCGGGATGCGGCGGCGCTGGAGAACCAGCAGAGGAAGCTGGCGTCGCAGGTGGCGTTGGAAGAAAAGATCTTTGTCGGCGGCGTGGAGCACGGGGATTGCTTCCTCAGCTGGATCACCAAAACGAGAAACAACGTCTACTGGGAGCTCGGCTTTGCCGATCGGACACGGGAGAAGCCGGAAAGAATCAAGGTTGGCCGTCAAACGTATTACTCGGTTTGAAGCCAGCCGAATAGGGCTTCGAGTCCGGGGTTGGGATGAAGTTTGGATCGGTAAAGACGAAAAAACGAAAAACAAAAACAAAAAAAAGGGGGGGGATGGCGTTCAACTTTAGAGCCTGGTAGTTGCGAGGCACACAAAGTTTACCAAATGGTTGAGAGTTCGTGAGAAAATGCCTTGTCCATAGTGCGATTATCCTTGAAACTCCGGTGCTTATCCATCAAACCTTTGCGCTCACGGCCCAAGACGAAGTAAGTAAAAAGACACGACGACACATACAATGCCGCCCTAGTACCGCTGACTGTTCCTCGTCTTCTTTTCGCTATTTTTCAACAACTTGTCTCATTTTCACAAACATTGAGCGTCGTCATCGTATTGAGGGATAGTCCTCTGCGAACTACAGGAAGTAGTCGGCCACCGGCTTCTTCGCCGGCATCCCCCTGGAATCCTGTGGCGCCGCCTGGAACACGCGATACCTCCGAGCCGGCCCAGGCAGAAGGACATAGTCATCGGTGCCTCTGATGCCGCCGTCGCTGCGTCCCACATCGCCATTGCTGCGCGCGAACACGCCAGTTCCAGAATCGTCCTCTGCCAGTTCGAGGATCGCCGCAACGTTGCCACAACGGTAGCAGTAGTTGGGCGCCGACCAAACCGTGACGATACTGGCGTCGAACATCTCCTTGAAACCCTCCATAACAAGTTGGTGGGCGCGAGCGATAAGGGAAAGGTCATTCTTGTGGTTGAAGTCGCGAACAATATCGGCGCCGAATAAGAAACCAGCACCACGCGGAGAGAGGCCCCACCCATCAATGTCATCTGGGTCGGACCATAGAAGGTCGCACATCGCTCCTTCGTGCGGTACCTCTTGCTTCCTGTCCAAGAGCCGAATTTTGTCGACGCTGTCTATCAGAGGCGAAAGACCGCCGTGAACACAGAGGATGGCTCCGGCTGGGTTGCCGACGGAGCCTGATGAGCTCCCCGATGCGCTGCTGCCTGGTGGGCCTGTCTTGTCGCCCGAGGGCGCGCCGTTCGGACTGCTAGGGGTCGGTTGCCGTTGCGGCCGTCTCTGTCTGGGGAAGCGGCTCATTGTTAGGCCGGCCTGGTCACAGACCTCGATCTCCACATCTTCGTCGATGGGCTCTTGTCCCGGTGGGGGGTTGAAAGTGTGTGATGCTCCGAGAACGATGGCGCCGAGAGCAAGGTAGTCGAAAACATCGCAGCAATAGCGCCAGACGTTGGCCGAGCCGTATTTTCGCAGACATTCGTCGTAGAAACCATAAACCGTAGTGATTTGCCGCGACTCGTGGTTGCCGCGGATCAGAGTCATGCGGTCAGGGTAGCGGACTTTGAGGCAGAGAAGGAGGAGGAAGGACTCGAGCGAGTAGAACCCGCGGTCTACAAAGTCGCCTGCATGATATCAGCGGTCAGCGTATGGGTTCTCAGAGGCAAGCAGATACTAAGACGGCATACCCATGAAGAGGTAGTTGGTGTCGGGGACGTCGCCGCCGACGCGGAAGAGTTCCATGAGATCATGAAACTGGCCGTGAATATCACCGCAAATCTGAGAAGGACATCAGTTTCCGCTAGGTATCTCTTTGCATTGCAGTTCCCTCGCACCGTTACGGGAGCTGTGACGGTGACGACGTTGCCCTCTTCGATAAGCAGCTCGCGCGCCTTGTGGCACAGCTCTCGGACTTGCGCTTCGGGTATCGGCCGGCAGGCGCGCAGCTGCGCGATGGCCCTGAGTCGCGGGTGAGCATGTCGCGCGGGAAGTAATAGGTGAAGTCGCCATGGAAACTCACTTGTCGAGGTCGCTCATGGCGATAACGGAGGAGGGGCTCTCTGGTTGGCGTCGAGGCGCCCGAGGCCGACGAGTCGCGGTTTCGGATTGGAGGAGATAGTAACCCTCTTACTTTATACCATGTCGTGTATATAATAAGTCCGGGATATCGCAATGGGCTGCTTCTTCTTGCTCTTAGAGATATGGGTCGTTGCGCGATCAGGGCTTTCGGGATGGGATGGCGTCAGTAAGGCAAAGGTAAAAAGACGTGTAAATTGCCATTCAGCAGTCGCCGCCAGTCGCCTGCGAACCCCCAACTTTCGTCGCGCCGGGATCTACAAAGTGGATAAGGTGATTGGTCTGTGCATCGAAGCGGATCCATATTTTAGCTTGATCCCCATCCCTCGGGATATTATTGATGCGGTTGCCGATGTCGCGTTCCTCAGGCATGCGCCCCATTGGCATGTCACGTCGCTCACTGTTGACCCACTATAAGGCATCGTGATCCAATCAGATGGGCCGTATAACATTAAGCTTCACTGCAGGGGAGCAAGAAAATTGACGGTTGTCATCCATCGTCGCGGATTCCAAGGCTTCATCAAGGGATCGACGCTGAGCCTCTTCACGTTATCGCGCGAGCATGGTGCTTTTATAGGTGAGTCTTTATGCCCAACTGACTTGTCATAATCACACTGAAGGCGTCTAACGCTCAATTGCATACAGAAGTTCGGGCCTCCTTTCCGAATCAAAACCCGCAATCATGCCACCACATCCCCTCCACCCACGGTCGCGTATGACCTCGTCCCTCTTCGCAACCACGGTTGTCGCGAGCTTCTTCGTCGTCGGGATGCCACATCTGCTGCCGTGCCCAGCACCCCGAGTCACATACGCCGACGGAGAAATCGTGGTGGGCGAAGACGGCCGCCGGAGGAGGCGGAAACGTCGCGAGGCAGGCCCTGAGATCAAGGACGGCATTGTCAGCTTCAACCAAGTCGGCGACGAGGAGACGATACGTGCACAGCAAGATCGATCGAAGAGGGAATGTCCAGTGCCGAAACCTGGCGGCATCTTGGGAGAGTGGTTGGGATTCCACGGGCCGAGTAAGGAAGCAGAGTCGACGAAAGCAGAGAGGTGACGATGGCAGGTGAACATATGTACAACTCAAGATACCATTCATGTTTCATGACGCGAAGCGACGCTGCTCTCTTTGATTCGTGCTTGTTCGGAACTAATGCTACGAAAAGTATGTTGCACGTCACACGCTGGAATAACGCCACTCAGCTGGCCGAGAGGCAGCAGAACCAAATCAAGACAGCAATCCGCAGCAACGTCTTTCCGGGACGGAAACAGCAGGCAGGGTTTTGCGTGGCGAACGGCGTGCGGGTTGCATAGACAAACGGCAGTCTGGCATCTTGCAGCATTGCACCTCATTCCCAGCTTCTCAGATCTCGCCACAGGTAGTAGTAGCCTTGGACAACTACGAATCCGATTCTTAGCCACAGGGGTACGGCATTATGAAGGAGGGTGCGTTCTTCCGTTCCGACGTTACAAATACAAGACCAGAGTGACAGATGGGTTGTTCACAGCCACGCCTCCCGTTCAATGCATCGAATCAGAGGGAAATGGGTGGGTTTCCGGGCGGTTTTGCCATCAATACCAGCTCTGCAGTTTTGTCTTGACACCCTTTGCCTCTCAAAACATCTGGCTTCCCAAACCAAGTGCTCCAGAGTTGTGCATTACTCGAGTAGTGTGTATGAGTAGAGTAGGATTGACGCAACTAAGAATTCGCCGCTGTTAACAGTTACCGAAAAGCTGTTGGCTGAGGGGTAGGTAAGGCAAGACTAAATAAGCACTCGTCTTTAAAATCAAGGTTAATGTGGTGAAGTGTACCTGAAACACTATTGCAGTTTTCCCCCTTGCAGAGTCGCATCCTCGCAGGTGGTTTGACGGGTTGCTCGGGTGAGAGCATCACGACCACCTCTGCAGGTCCAATAACCTTTCTCCTGACTTCTTTTATTTGTCAAGATTGATGAAGGACTCGTCATGATCTCATGATCGCTGCGCATCTCTTGCTATGTTTCCTTCTGGGCTCCGGGGCACCCACTATCATCCTTCAAATGCCGTCCGTTTATCGACGCATGATCTTCCGGGAAATTCAATAGAGGGTGTCAGTTAATAATTGAAAGAAAAATGCCTTGACTGATTTGCCAGAGCATGAGGTTTGAAATCCTCCCCCCGGTTGGGTTGCGTCTGGACGATCGTAGAGATGAAACGTCAGCGAGGCTTAGTGTAAGATCCACGCCGCTAGGTCTCGTGCTTATCCCCGCGTCGCAACCTCAATTCCCGTTAACGTTTTTCGAGGCAGGATGCGCCGGATACGCGATTCGCCGCACAAGAGCCGGCTGTCTTTTTGTCATCCCCTTCCAGGAGGACTAGGGACAACCCTTACCACAGCACTGCCACTAAAAACAAGCTGACTAAGGCTCTCTCTCGTCTTGAACGTGGAGGGGCGGGTAGGTCGCAGCTTGCAGTCTAATCCGTCTGATGCCAAGAACGGCTCAGATCAGTCGAAACAGCCGACGAGCGAGTCACGACAGCCGGTTCGCGCACTGAGGCACGCGACATGGCGGTTCAGAGTTGAGTTGGCGGGTGCCATCTGTTTTCTGACGGAGCCAACTGAGACCAGACTCGAAACATCCATCGCAGCCCGGACTTCAAGCTCTGGGATCATCTCACTACTCCGTACCTGGGAATTCAGACGCCACCCACAATCAGTTTGCCGGATAATTTAGAATTCTGGATGGTGTCTGTGTCATGAGTGCCGAAAGATGCCATCTGATCTTGGCGAGGGGCCATGGACCTATTGGCGAACATGGTCCTCACAACTAATTATGCTGAATGACTGTTCTGGGGAGTTGGAAAGATAAATAGACACCGTTTCCCCGGACCAAGTAGTGATTTGTTCTTCATCCCTTCACTTCATCACAGTCTTTCCACTTCAACTTCTATTCTACAATCCAAGAGCTGTGCTCTATTTCCATTCTTTCTCAGCTTCTATTCATTCCTTGATACCCAGTAAGTCACCCAGCCCAAGCTGTTAAAACGAGCAAGAGCTGACAGTTGCAAAGTTTCTCCCAATACTTCACTTCACTCCACAACAGTTTTTTTTCAAAATGAAGTACTCCATGGTTCTCCTTATCGCTACCGGCCTGGTGTCGGGTCTCAGCATCCCCCAGCTGGACGCCCACAATGTCGCCGCCCCGGCCCCTCCCGCCGCTGCCCCGGCTCCTCCCGCCGCTGCCTCAGCCCTTCCCGCCGCTGCCTCAGCTTCTGCTTCCGCGACCGAGAGTGCCGCTCCTCCCGCCGCCAGCGGTGACGCCGCTGCTGAGGATGCCAAGAAGAAGGCCGAGGAGGATGCCGCCAAGAAGGCCGCGGACGACGCTGCCAAAGGTTGCAACAACAACAACAACCAAAATGATGATGCCGCCAAGAAGGCCGCGCAAGATGCTGCCAAGAAAGCTCAGGAGGCCATGCAGCAGTACCAGCAGCAGCAGCAGGATAACAACAAGAACAACACCGACAACAACAACAACAACAACAACAACGATAAGAACAACGATAAGAACAACGATGACAAGAACAACGATGACAAGAACAACGATGATAAGAACAACAATGATAAGAACAACGATGATAAGAACAACGATGATAAGAACAACGATGATAAGAACAACAATGATAAGAACAACAACAACAACAACAACAACCTGAACGACCTGAACAACAACAACGCCGTTCTGGAACAGAACATCGAGCTCCTCCTCGCTGTCCTCGGTCTCCAAAACTTCGTCAACAACCAGAACCTTGGTCAGCTCCAGGCCCAGCAGCAGCTCCTCATGCTCGCCCAGCTCCAGCAGCTTGCTCAGCTCGGTTCCGTTGGATTGATCAACCAGAACCAGGTCCTCGCTCTCGCGCAGGGGGGACTCATGTTCAACGGCATCAACGGCCTCAACGCCCAAAGCCTCTGTAAGTCAAACCCTGCAACATCCAGACATGACGTCTTTCACGGTGCTAACAAGCCTGCCTACAGTTAACTTTCACTAAATGAAGTCTCGAGCCCCGGATCTCTGGTTGAGTCGGAGCGGAGTTGAACGGTGACGGTGACCGTTCGGGGAGATGACCAGGCTCTGGACTGGCATTGTTGTAGCATTGTTGTAGCAATGACGGTATGTTTCCACGTGCTCGGGTTGGCTTGAAGCGTCCCTAGTGGACGCTCGCCAAGGGCTTGACATGACGATGGCGTTAGGGGCTTACTTTGGTGCTCTGGCTGAAGCTGCAGGCGGGGGACGAAGGGGCTTGTATGGGTTGGTTTATGGGTTACGGTTCATTATTTCGAGACTGTCCGCTTGAAGCCTGGACAGGGGTTGACATGTGCTATGGTGTATCATAAGAAAAAAAAAACCCATTTGTCACCTACCATGGTTCCGGTCGCTGTCGACACGAGATTTGTGTGTGAGCGAGTGAGTGAGTGGGTGTGTGTGTGTGTGTGTGAGTGCTGACTCAGCTGGCTGAGCGGTCTTAAGACTGTGCTGATGAGACGAATGCGTTGTTTGCCAGTTTGGTCGGGAACCCCCTACCTATCTGGTGTGCCAGGACCGACCTTTGACAGCAGCTCTACATAAGCTTATCGCCGCTCCTTGGCACCATTGACCGGCACGCTCCTTGACTCTGGCAACTTTAAGTACAATGAACGCCCTTTCGCAAGATAATTGATAGTTGTTGGCTTTATTTCTCTAGCGAGTTTTCGCGAGAATCTCTGAGGTTTTTTTTTTGTATATTATATACACATGCACACACATTATACATACACGCACATTTTTCTTCTTTCCTTTTCCCCTCTCAGTCTGTAGTCTGTTTTTATTATATCTTTTTTTTTTCTAAAAAAAAAGAAAAGAAAAAAGGCAAACCACCACAGAACACAGAAACTGTCATGAAATCATGAAAGGCTATTCTCTGCCATTCATCTCAACGCCCGAACGTAAAGCAACCATACGCGCCGACCATCCGATGAGGGTGATGCTCGGCTACATCCGACTCGTCTGAACAGAAAGGGAAAAAAAAGAAAAAAAAAGGGGGGGGGGAGGGCGAGAGTAAGAGTGTCCGAGACAGCAAACAGCTGCCATCTGAAAATCGTCTCATTACGCCAGGGTAAGGTGTGTAGCTACTCGGAGGCGAATGAAAAGCCTGCTACTTTGGTGCGCTTGTCAAACGCCAATCCAACTCTCTTCCCTCCGGAATGGTTGAGCATCCGGGATACTCGCATTATGGGGGGCCGGGCATGGTGCAAGGGTCGCTCACGTTCGCGACCTAGCCGTCATTGTCCGTCAATGCCTTGGAGCATGGAAGGAAGATGCCTCGCCGATGGTAATCTGTGACACTTTGAGGGGCTCGGGCTTCGAATGCCGGACAGGGGGGGCTTTCCCTTTGGACGACGAGGGCCCGGACATGTGGGTAGGATGCATGGCAAGCCTGCATATTTGACACTGACAGCCCTGCTAGTGGCCGGTACTTACCACTAGGTACGTACTAGCCGCGCTCGGACCGCCTGTCACCCTCCCCCTCCCCCTCCCCCTTCCTCTCTTGGTAGAGGAGAGATCCAAGATCGTTGGTGCCTTGTCCGAAAAAGGGATAGTGGCGGAAAATATGACAACCAATGATGGCTCGGCTATCCGGGCAGGCACCACCTGATGATCAGTGTCATGGGCGGGGACGGGGTACCGCCCGTCAAAGTCACACTGATACGACTCTGCGAACAGTCGCAAAACCTTAGTTGAGCCGCTCAAACGTCTCTATTCCCCCTCGGTTGTGTGTGATTGGCCATTTCTCAACGGTTTCGTCCAATCACGGCACCTATGTTCTCCGCTTTTGGGATGAAGCTCAGGCGTACCTGCCCACTATCGACAGTCTTTTGCCTCTCTTGACTCTTCGTCCCATCAATGCCTCGCCGACATTCCGGCTCGGCGGTCTCCTAAAACGGAGCACACGCCTGGAGCTGGTGCATCAGCTCAACTTCATCCCGTCAGAGAGACGCCTCCCAGGTCCCCGCCTTGGTTTACCACAACCGCCGCCTGTTTGTTGCCCGGAGACAGCCCGCCCGCCTTCCCTCCCCGGCAGCCCTCCGCAAAGTCTTCGGATGGCACTTCAGCCATGACTCCGCCGTTCTAACTGATCGTCGTCGACGCCCATGCCTCTCCCCTGCTCTTCCGTCTTTATCCGGTCCAAACGTCCATCATGCATAATCCACCACTGCTGTTCCGCGCCCTCCCTGATCAAACCGCCGCTCCCTCACCGTTGCTCCTCGCCAACAGCCCTCACGAAACGGACTGCAATTGCTTCTAATCTCGTCGTAGATCCCGAGACAATCTCAGCTTCGCTTCTTTTCATGCTACTCCGGAAAACGGAAACTGGAAGGGGCCCTTCATTGGCTTGGCGACGCTCAGCCGACTCGTCAGCCCCTTTGCGCATTCATTGGTCGTCCCACCACGCACAGGACCCGCTAAGTAAGGTTAATTCTGGATTTTAGTCGCGCGCATGTCTGTTCTAACCGAAGGTCGTCTGTTTCCTCGCCCCCCCTGCCCACCCTGCCATGATTCCTAGTCTCGGGCCTGAACCGATCCGAACATGGCATTTGACAATCTTTCGGCCAGCAAACAAGCACAATTCTTTCGCATTCGCACCGTCGGGGAATCTACCGACGGGTGACTGGCAGATCCATGTACGAGCACAGGATGGGTTCTTCCTATGATCTACTCGGTATCTGGCTATTCTCTGTTTCCTGACTGGCGCAGCCAACGCCATCCGAAGGCGTCTTGCGCCCTCTCGCCATCCCGCCACCCCTGGTCTCATATCCCTGCTCAACCGTTTGATCCCATACGCCTCCGTCCCAGTATTACCTGAACTTTGATACGCCCCGGATCACTTACTCGCCATCTTTCCGGGCGCACGGGGTACGCCAACCCACTCTTGGCAACGGTCCGAACTCCATATGCTTCGTTCCGCAGCGCAACCATCCAAATGCGTACCCTCCCTAACATCTTGGCTTCTGTTCTTCTTGTATATAAGAACTCCATGTCGACGACCGTTGAGTGTTTCCTTTCATTCCTCATCCACTCACACAAGCCAATCATCCGGTTCCATCTCTTTCATTTCATCTTCATTCTTTCACTTCGGAGGTCAGTAGTTTCCGAACCCACCACGAGAAACATCTATAACATCTTGTGCTAACCCATCCGCAGCTGTGCTCATTGTTTCACTTCACTCTCTTTCCTCCCACCAGTCCTTACACAAACACACAGAGCTGCGCTCTCTTGCCACCTTATAACTACTAATCCAACTCCAATCACCTACACAACCCCCCACCCACCACCAGCCAAAATGCGTTTCTCCAGCATCATCGCCGCGGCCCTCGCTGCCGTCGCCACCGCCGCCCCCACCACCGCTGTCGAGCCCCGCGCCAACGTCAACCTCGCCCAGCTCAACAACCTCCAGGGCTTCCAGAACTTGGACCTCAACTACCTCCTCGCCATCAACCAGCTCAACCTTGGTGGCCTCAACCAGCTCGGCCAGGTCAACAACTTGAACCTTGCCGCCTTCCAGGGCCTCTTCGCATCCCAGAACTTCGACCTCAACTCCCTGCTCCAGCTGCAGCAGCTGTCTACCCTTCTTTCCCTCCAGCAGCTTGGCCTCTTCAACAACAACATCAACCTGGCACAGTTGAACTTTGGCGCCTTGAACTTTGGCTTGATCAACAACCTTGGCGGCGTCAACCTCGGCCAGTTCATCAACCCCAACCTGGTTGCCCAGATCACCCAGGTCGTCCAGCAGTCTACCAGTAAGTCCCCAAACCACGACCCTTCTTGAAGACCAGGCACTAATCCATAACCCTGTTTCAGTCGTCGTCGCAAAATAAACGCCCTCTTGTCCATCTTTACAGATAACCAAGAACAACTAGCATATGGCCGGTTCTGGCCAAGGATGATATCGTGAGAAGGGAGTTCAGTCAACGAGGCACATGAAGTTTGCAACTGGGTCATATTCGGGGTCACAGTGTTTTTGATACTCATTTAATATCTGGTGTCATCTCGTTCATATGATCGACACATTGAGCATCTTGGCATCGTGGGCATTGGAATAGTTTTATAACAGCATGAGTGGGTGGGTCTGGGACCAATGGATATTTGACTTTAATCATTTTGTTCGTCTTCCATCGCTTGCTTCTCGAAAACGCAGACATGTTTCCCTCCTTCGGTGAGAGAAAGTGAAACCCCAAGCCCCTTGGCTCCAGGAGCGGCCTAGCCAATTCTCCGTGGGCCCGCCCCCCTCCGTTCGCAAGAGAAACAAACCGTTGCCAAGTCTCGGCATTGCAGAATGGTTTGCGGCCATGGCGAGCGGTGGGTTAGGTATCTCCACGTCCTGAGCGAAAAAGCCCCGTCGGTTCCTGTCAAGTGCTGACCCGGTTCCAGAATCAATGACGACGAACGCGACCAACCAGCCATCCTAGCACGCCAGCCGTGGCATCGCGGCCCCTGTGCAGAACCCTCCCGCGAGAGGGAACCTCCCACTTGCCGTCGTCGGGGAGTCCCCGCTATGCTTCGTTGCTTGCTTTTGTCTTTCTTCCTCCGTCGGTTCTAATTCGGCCTTGGCATCTCGTACGTTTTCTGCAGCAACGAAAGAGGACTTCCATCCCGGCTGCCTTACCTATTTTTTATTTTTATTCATTTTTTGTTCTGTAGCCTCTCCCCGCCCCCGCCCCGACTAGGCCCCGGCCAACGCGCATCGTATCGGGGTGAGCCAACACAGCAACCCCTCCGGGAACGCCCAGGATTGAGACTCTGCACTGGTCTTCTCGCCATCTCTCTGCTCGACGCTTGGTCTCATGTGTCACTTGGGGGTTTCCCACCGATACGGGGAGTAGCTAGCTTTGGGGGTTGGTGTCTGCAGACTTGGTTCCCGCTGAGTATCTTTGTCGACACGGCGCTTTCGAGAGCCAGCCGTGATGTGATGGGTCTATGCGAAACCCGAAGGATCCTCGAGCCGGTGGAGAG